TCAATTGGGGAAGGGGGTTGTGTATTACATTGGGGAAGGGGAAGAGCAATGTATTAATTTGGGGGGAGGTAGCCGTGTATTAAATTAGGGAGCGAGGGGGAGAGCTATGTATTAAATTGGGAGGGTTGACGGGGAGGGTAGTGTATTAAATTTGGGGGAGGTCAGTGTATTTAATTGGGGGAGTGAGGTGGAGGGCATTGTATTACACTGAAGGAGGACAGTGTATTTAATTGGGGCAATGGGGGAGAGCAGTATATTAAATTGGGGAGGAAGGGAGAGGGCAGTGTAATAATTTGGGGGAAGGCAGTGTTGAATATTGGGGGGAGTGGGGGCAGTGTATTACGTTGGGGTGTGTGGGGGCAGTGTATTGGTGGGAGAGGGGTTGTGTATTAAATTGGGAAGAGGGAGCGAAGGCAGTATTTTCGATTGGGGGAGTGGGCTGTCTATTAAATTGGGGAGAGAGCGCGCAGGCAGTATTTTCGATTGGGGGAGTGGGCAGTGTATTAAATTGGGAAGAAGGGCAGTTTATTAAATTGGGGGAAAGAAGTGGGGGGGGGGCAGTGTATTAGAGTGGAGGGACAGGGGTGGGTGGGGGCAGTGAATTAGTTTGTACGCTGTTGGGCTGACTGCATCCAGGCAATTGTTGCAGGCTGACTGAATTCCAACTGTATTTGGCTACAGTAAATATAATGAGAATTGCCATTGTGGTCATTTTCTAAATCTGTTTTTTTGGTAAAAGGCATTAAAGAATACCTCCTCTTTATCCTGCAACTTGGTGCCTCCATTTTAGCTCTCGATCTGTCAATCATTGTTATAACCTCTGTTGTTTGCATCTGACAGTCAGCATTGAGAAAGCATACAGGAGAAATGAAACAAAAATTAAAATTAAAAAAAGAATCATCTCATGAAAAAAAAAAAAGTTAACACAATTTATAGGCGATTTTTAATGTTTTATTACATGGTGTAAATTCCAGACAATGGACAGTTCCATTTTAAAACAGTCTGATGCCAAGTGGTGTGAGGAGTTGGCAAGCCATAAGTATCTAATGCATAATATTTTTCTTTAACATTCGTAGTTTTAGTAATGCAACAGCTTTACTATTGCAGTTTTTTTTTTAAAGTATATAGACAGATATGTAGAGTTTAGCAATATAAAAATCCCAAAGGAATTTTAAGCCAAGCACCAATTAAACCAGACTGACGCTGCTTAGGGATTTAGATAAGAGTATTAAATATGTGAACTCACATGCATTCAACACATTAGTGCCAGAGGGCCCGACAGTACATGTTGCAAAAAGGTTAATAACATTTAAACACATAACTGATGATTTATATATTTTTACATTGTTAGGACATGAACAATCTATTGTTAACTGAAAGAGCACATGCAGGTTTAGCTATTTTACTGTACGTTATAATAGGTGCATTACATACTTTAAAAGAACACTATACTGACAGGAATATAAACATGTAACCCTATCACTTTGCTGTGAAGACATATTTTAGGTGACCTCCCCCCTATCAGCAAAGTAAAAAGTGATTTTACTCATGTTTATTACAGTGCCGCAAGGGTTTCCTCGCAGCTGGTCCTGGTCGCTCCGCCTCCTTGGCTGAGATGATCAAACTTGACGATCTCAGCCCGTTGGAGGCAATTGAGCATGAGGAACGTTCAGCACCTTAATGCTGAGAGTGGAGACGGTGAACGTCAGTCCTGTACATTGTGCAGCACTGACTTTGGAAGCACTTCTAGTGGCCGACTGAAAAGACAATGTTTACATTACAAAGCCTACAGGGACATACTATACACATCAGTACAACAATATTAAGCTGTAGTTGTTCTGGGGAGTATAGCATCCCTTTAATGGTAAGTTTCCAAATCATGACATGTGAATGGAAACAAAGTAGATTTTTTTTTGCATATCATAACAAATGGGAGACAGCCACTAGAGGCAGTCTTCTAGTGGTCTTAGTGTCTATAGTGTAGTTTAAGTACTATTTACCCAGGGCAACGCTAGCAGTCAGCGGGCGAAAAGTTAAAAATCTTCATTGACTCGAGGGTTAGTTATGTGGCAGCAAACCAGCGCTTGCCACATAACGAGGGTTATGAATTAGTATTGAGGCAATTGTCTGCAACATATGCACAACTTGGACAAATCTGGGATTCTTTGTGAAAAAAAACCCTTCCTGTGTATTTTTATTTTTTTCTCCTTAATTTTCATTTACTTTTTATTCATGTTTTTGTTATTACATTGTTACTGTAATATTTCAAAATTGCAAATTGTTAAAAAAATAAAATAAAACTTAAAAGTATTTGAAGAGAGAAAAAATGATTCTATATTGCTGGAATTACACCCCGTGTTAAAGGTCACATGTCTTTTTAAAATCTTATCAGGAGACCTGTAATAACTAGTATATAATCACTGTTGCGTGAGTTATATGAAACTATTAAATGTAACATTAGTTTTAAGAATGCCAACTTGGGCCTCAATTTAATATTTTTGGATAAACTTATCAAACAAGTTAATATTTTTGGATATTCTTTTACAGTAGTTTAACTTTTTTTTTTAAATTTAATTTTTTTTAATAGTTCATGATATATTGATATATTTTCTACCCATGATATATTTTCGATATGCTGATATTTAGAAAAAATTACTTTAAATGCTAAGACAAAAATATTAAATCATTTAAAAAGCTTATTGAAGAATATCAAATTGAGGCCTTATCTAGAAAACACAAAAGGTATGAAATGTATTGGATAATTTAAACTTGATATTAATTTTGGATTGGGAATTATATTAAATTGTTAAATTAATGTCCACCCCATAATAACAGACTTTTGATTATGATGTGTGTGTATATATATATATATATATATATAGAGAGAGAGAGAGAGAGAGAGAGAGAGAGAGAGAGAGAGAGAGTTTGTGTACTATCTTTTTTTCATTTTAAAAGCCAATCATTATCTGCCCATCCACTTTTTAATGGAAAGTATTCTCTCTAAATAAATAGTGTGAGGCCACCTTTGCTAATTGTAGGTATTAGACCAGTATAATTGAAGATAAATGTTCTGTGCAATAAGGAATAAGATGACATATTTAAAATGTTTCTAAAGACTATATTCTTGTTAATTGAATTCTTTATCATTGAACGTAGTCTGGGAAATGAAAAAAAAAATGAAAATAAAACATAAACCTCTTAGATTTAAAACTGGTCATTTAGAGTAAGAAGACACTTCGTTCTACACAGAGTTAATCTCAAGAGATACTTTGTTAAAGTATTTGTAATCCATTGGGGTTGTTTCTGAGTATACAAGAAGTTGTTCTAATTAAGAAACTTTTAAACAGCATCACACAATAAAACAGATATTACTAACATGAAATTATATATCAGTTCTAGTGGTAGATAGAATATTTGACAAGGCCACTTGCATGAAATCATACCAGTATTGATGATAGATAGAATATTTAAAGGTTTAAGAAATAGCAAGAGAAATACTATTTATATCTGTTCTAAAAAATGGAAAGTGTTAGTCATTAGTTTGAAACTGGATTTAAAATTAATTTTATGTAGTGAAGGTTTCTATACATTTAAAGGAATTAATAAAAAAAAGTATTCCATTATTATATAGGAATTGTGATTTCTGTACTATTTAGTAGATCTCTTAGTTTGGTTAAGTATATAGGCATTTACATGTTCAGGGTAAGAAAATACATGTATTGTAAAAATGAGAGAGCGTTAGACTAATTTCTGTAAGAAAACTCTTACAAAATATTTTATTGAAAGTGTTACAGTATTGCTAAGAGTGTAAATCTAGTGTACTGCTTCCCATGTGATATATGTAAAGTACATTATGTAGGTCACACAATGCAATGATAAAGCAGTAGATGAAAGAGCTTGCAACAACATTCTTAGAAAAGATTAAAATAGATTCAAGAGCTGCCATGCGTGTTTTTACATTTCTAAAAGTTATTGGAGAATCTTATACGTAATAGATTATAAACAAAGTTGTATTCGACTATGAGATGGTGACTTGGGTTTAGTTTTACTCAGAAAAAAAAATACTTTTGGATATTTATGACAAAAACAAGAAAACCATATACCCTAAATAGCATACATATAAAGTGTTTATTTTGTATAATCTTAAAGGTATACTCCAAGCAGAGCTTACTGCTGCCGTCATGGTGCCACAAGTGCCCTGCATCCATCCCACAGTAAGTAGTCAAATCATTTTAGCACAGTTTGACAGCTTTTCTGGGTCCCCAGGTAGCCACACTGCATCCAGTCTTCTCCAACAGGAGAAACATAGAATGTGACGGCAGATAAGAACCATTTAATTGCCCCTCTAATTTAAGACTAGGTCCTCTTGTTGTGGTAGTTTTTCTTCTTTTAAATATGGTCTCCTCCTCTACTGTGTTGATTCCCTTTATGCATTTAAATGTTTCTATCATATCCCCCCTGTCTCGTCTTTCCTTTAAGCTATACATGTTAAGATCCTTTAACCTTTCCTGGTAAGTTTTATCCTGCAATCCATGAACCAGTTTAGTAGCCCTTCTCTGAACTCTCTATAATGTATCAATATCCTTCTGAAGATACGGTCTCCAGTACTTCGTACAATACTCCAAGTGAGGTCTCACCAGTGTTCTGTACAATGGCCTATACAACCAAGCATTCTGCTAGCATTTCCTGCTGCTCTATTACATTGTCTGCCTACCTTTAAGTCAGTCAAGTGTGTTGGTCTTAAACAGCAAGAGGTGCAGTTTTGTGTGGCAAATTTAGATTAGGGGGTACAAGAGATTAGTCATGCCTAGGGTCATTTCATAAAGTCACTGCCTTCTTGTGCCCACAGTATGTATCTACACTGAAAACTTTAACAAATGCCTTGTTAGTCTTGAGTCATGAGGAAGGCTGGTTGTCCACCTTAGGGCCCCCCGAGATGGGTGGCTGTGTGGAATGGAGGTGGCATCGAAGGAGTTGTAATCTTCCTGCTCACTTTGGAGATGGCCGTGAATACCCAGCAAGCCGTGAGTGATGAAAATGGGCATGCACAGTGCTCAAAACATTTTTTGCGAGGCAACGGAGGAAGGACAGTATAGAGGTGAGTATTGTGGGAAAGTTAGCTTAAAAAAATTAAGAGAAGCTTGCCTTATGCTCCACCATTTTGTCACAATTATCAAGCGTAGGAAAAATACATAAGACAAAATAGTCCCTATTTTGTCTTATGTTTTGAAAGGAAATAGAGGAGAAAAGAAAAACAGGTTGAGAGCTGTAGTGGTTCTGGTGCTCAGAGTGCCTATTTAAAACAAAATTGAACACTATAGTAAAATTTAAGTTCTGCAATAAAAAAATTGTAAAAAAAAAAAGTATTCATATGAATAACAGAAGCAACGTGCTGTGTACAAATATAAATCAACCATGAATTTTTTTCAGAGCCTTAGAAGAAAAACACTTCTTTTATAAAAAGTGTCACATACTCATTAAAGAACATTGGCCATGTCTCTCTTTATCACTCTTAATATGAAATTATTGTTTAACCTCTTCACTCACAACCTCTTTTTTTGTTTGAAAAATCATATATTTGTTTCAAACATTTATTTGAAACATGTGATGAATATAAAAAGCAGAACAAATAGTGTAGTCCATTCTGCTTTGCTTTGTGTCTTGCAGATTGTGACTGCTCACTGATTTTACTACCTTGGTTATAATTTAAAGTATTTATATTACTGTGGAGATTTTGTGTATCTATATTGATTGTTCCTGATGGGTACTATAATATTCAGCACAAAGTGCTTTGATTTTAACTACAAGTTACTTGATCTTGTAGCACTGGGAACAATTTTTGCTACATTGTTTCTTGAGATTTTGTATCAGACTACACGGATAGATCTATTCTGAACGTTATGTCATTCTACTGTTTTATATTATGTGATACATATTTTATACACATTTTTATTCTTAGTTGATTCCTTTCATATTTTTTTTATTATATTTATTGAGCTACTATTTTTTTAAAATCAGTTTACCATTTCCTATATTTTCTTGGTCTGTTTGTCATATCTATGCTTATTTTGTATTTTTACTGTATTGTGTTTCACTGTCCCCTCTAAGTATCAGCTCCTGGTTGTGTGTTCAGTTTTTTACTGGTCATTTTAGAGTGCCAGGAGAGCCCAGACATCCTCCCCCTTCCAATAATTGGTAAAATATTTTGAAAGCGTTTGACAACATAACGGAATCTCCTGCTCAGGGTCAATCCTGGACATATATACAGGATGCACTGTGCAGGTGCCAGGGAGCTGAGGCAGAAGGGGGGTGCTAGTGGGTTAGTGGGGGGTGGGGGAGAGGCTGACCTGGGCTAGAGCTCTGTGTGGGCCCACAAAAAGCCCAAAGTCTAAATGTGCCATCTATTATTATTAGCCCCGAGTGGCCTGTTCTTTGCATTGCCAGAACAGATTACATGGGCAAATAATATACTCAGCATGCCGCTGTCTGCGCTCTTCTCCTTCCCTCTTACTGTAGTGTGACCAAGCAGCAGCACCTTCCCTCATCCCAGCCTCATACTCAGCGTTTATGCTGGAGGCTGTCAGGAAGGGGGCGGGATCCACACACAGTGCGGCTATGAATAGAGTTGAGGCTGAGCCTTTGCCAGGTAAGTTCCGGTCATTGAAGGCACTCTGACAAGCTGTTTCTCCTACCGGACCACAAGGGTTCAGGATTCCCCCAAAGGTAAGCCTTGGGGCTTTTGTCTTTTAAATTTTATTAATGCCCCTTATCTAGCCCACTAGACCACCTAACCTCCCACTACAGCCTCTAACACCCCACTACATCCCCCTAACCCCCCAGCTGAAGTGGTAGAGGTTAACACAGTGAGGGAATTTAAGTATGCGTGGGATAGGCATAAGGCTATCCTAGATATAAGATAAGACTAGGGACTAATGGAAGTATTTAGAAAATTGGGCAGACTAGATGGGCCGAATGGTTCTTATCTGCCGTCACATTGTATGTTTCTACATTTCTATTTGTCTCCATATACCTATGTACAGCAAATATAGGACCACACTCATTCCTCAGGGAAGCTCTCTGTGTGTTTCTCTGCTTAGCTCTGGAGGCAAAGGGGAATATCCTTGCAGGACAATCCAAAACCAGACATTGCAACCGGCAGGACGCAGGTAGGTTGTCATACTGTTCTTAAAGGGACACTCCAGGCACCCAGACTACTTCTGCCCATTGGAGTGGTCTGGGTGCCAACTACCCTTAACCCTGCAACTGTAAATATTGCAGTTTTCATAAACTGCAATAATTACATTACAGGGTTAACTCCTCCTCTAGTGGCGGACCCTAAACCACTGCCGAGGGACATCGGCAGTGGTCTCAGGTAAGTCACTGAAGGGGTTTTCACCCCTTCAGCAACATGGGATGGGGGGTGGGAGGGAGAGGGGACCTGCAGTGCCAGGAAAATAATTTGTTTTCCTGGCACTGGAATGTCCCTTTAAATAGTTTTACCAATTACTATGGGAGGGCACCACGGCATGCCTGGATGCCTGGTACCATAATCACTACATCAGGCTACAGTATTTATGGTGCGTCTAGGAGTAGTTAAAGTAAAATTTTTCACAAGTATAAATAGAAACTACATGTTCCAGAAACACCTTGTTCTGAGCACAACTGACACTATGAATAGAGTGTTGTGTAGTTAGTCAACTCCTCCCTTAAAGGACACTTAAAGGCCCCCACCCTCAGGGTCCCCCTCCCGCCGGGCTCTGGGGAGAGGAAGGGGTTAAACTTACCTCTTTCTCCAGCGCTGGGCGGGGAGCTCTCCTCCTCCTCTCCTCCCTCTTCTCCTCCTCTTCGGCTGAATGCACATGCGCGACAGGAGCCGCTCGCGCATTCAGCCAGTCCATAGGAAAGCATTTACAATGCTTTCCTATGGACGCTGGCGTCTTCTCACTGTGAAAATCACAGTGAGAAGCGCGCAAGCGCTTCTAGCGGCTGTCAAGAGACAGCCACTGGAGGCTGGATTAACCCTAACATAAACATAGCAGTTTCTCTGAAACTGCTATGTTTATTAAAAAAAAGGGTTAACCCTAGCTGGACCTGGCACCCAGACCACTTCATTAGGCTGAAATGGTCTAGGTGCCTATAGTGGTCTTTTAATACATCGAGCAGAAAAAAAAGACAAGTGGTGTAAAAGTGATATTGTGTTTTCAGGCGCTTAAAAGAAGAATATATATATATAAATTACATGTGAGCTGCTACCACCGATGTGCAATTCTCTCACTGATTAACACAAAAATGCAAAATATAACAGTAGACTGTGTGGTAAAAATCGACACCAGTCAAAAAGGTGGAGCACTAAGGAGATGCGTGTGAATAACTCACCTCCCCCCTCTCCTTTTTGGATGTATTAAAACCTAGATTGATGAAGCTTACCGGCGAAACGCGTCTCGGACGTCCAGGAGGATTTTACTTTTACTTTTTATACTTTTGTTTTATTGTATAGAATAACTTTTACTTTTATACCTTGCATCTGGACATAAGTTGTGTTCCTGACCTTTTCCATAGAGTTTGGTACCCCCCCAGTGGTACTCATACTATTATACTCAGAGCCAGAGTCACAGGCTCTGAATCAGGTGAGCAGTTCTGCATATTTTACCACTCCAACCACTATTCACCTGCATACTATACTATGTTTGGCTTCTTCTATTTTTAAAGGACCCAGAAGTGCTTTTACCCATTGTTTGGTTTGTGTTACCTGTTAAAAACACACCTGATCAAGTGATCTGAGCCTGTCCTATTAAGGCTCAGCACCAAGTGACTGGTTCTATATACCTTCACATTATTTTACCACTATCTCACAGTACTTCACTATTGCAGTTCCATTTTATATCCCCACCTCTAGGTTTTAATATATCCAAAAAGGAGAGGGGGGAGGTGAGTTATCCACACGCATCTCCTTAGCGCTCCACCTTTCGACTGGTGTCGGTTTTTACCACACAGTCTACTGTTAGAAAAAAAAGACAGTCTGACAGATTTATAAGTGTGAGATATCTAATGTATAGCTTATGACTGTCACATTTCTAATCTCAACTAGTTCACAGTCTGCACATTAACCATGCAGCATTGGGATAAACATGTCCAACACCTCACACTCCATAAACCAGAACAAGAGGCTCCTGATTGGCCAAGTTACTTGCCTATAAGAGCAGAGCTCAATACATTCCTTGCATGTGCAGTAACCTTTTATCCTTTTAATTTTAATATTGTTTTTTTGTGTGTAATTCATTAAAACATGCAAATTTAAAGGTGTTTAAATTGTGATTGAAAGTAAGATGATATTCATGTCTCTTAAAACACTTATTTTAATACAATAGATGGTGGTTAATACAATAGATGGTGTCTGGGGAGTTGTAGTTTAGCCACATCTGTAGGGCAGGGGAGGGGGAGCATGCATTGAGATGCCTGCTCCAGGGGCTTTGCTCTTAAATAGATTTGATTATTAAATCTATTTGATGCCCAGCATCAGCATGTAAAGTGTCTCAGCATGCCGTGTCCTTCCAATGACTCTCAAAGAGAAGTATTGAAATGCAAGCATTTTGTGTCCACACTCTATGAGAAGCATCTGATTAAACAGAAGTCACCAGTCTTGATTGCATCACAGGTGGAGTATCAGGCTGATTGTTCCAGCGCTGGAATAAAGGTAAGTTTTATGGCCGTTTAATTATTTTTTGTTTAAATGAACATTCTACAGACCATAACCACTATAGCACCTTGTAGTGGTTATAGTTCCAGGAGTACCCTGATGTAATCCTAGTGCAATCTGTAAATCTCTTCTAAATGGTTTGGCAATTTTCCTGGATCCCCTGGGCACTTGCTGTGCATCTGGGCTTCTGCAGGAGACTCTAGAATATTCGTAGAATATGGAAAAAACCTTGCTAACAGGTGAAACGCATTAGTGTTTTATACAGCCTTTTGCTATATTGTTTTATTTTATTTGTCTCCAATAAAGATAGCGAATTTAAGCTATTTTGGAGGCTCCCAGCCTATTCTTTTTAACATCACAATTTCATCATCAAGAACTTGAGGACTCGCAAGTGATATTCTTGGTGGGGATTATTCCACCCACACTTCCTATACTGAGCAATATTATTTTTGCTCCCTGCTTGTGAGTATACCTCCTCTTTTTTTATCCTAGTTTTATTCCAGACCATACAGAGAGCACTATATTGTGTTTTAATTTTTACACACCGAGGATACCGGTTTTGGCACTATTTGACACCAGAACACCCTTACGCCTCTGAGAGTGTACCAGCACCATCATTATATCCATAGACGGGAATTGTACCATCCAGGCGCATATATCTGGAGCTGAATATAAGCTCCAGAAAATTGTAAGTGCAAATTTTTCTTTATTTACCACTATCAGCGATTTAACATACTACACTTTATCCGTGTCCTCTCCTCTCTCCCCTATATTTCACAGAGCTTGAGAAGACTACCACAGGCGCTGCTTCCTGACACTACCTTCCAGTTCGCACAACTAAGCCTAGCAAATCCAGTACTGAGTGGCTCATGGCTCACAGCTGGTGCTATAAGCCAATGATCGCAGACCTGAATTGTCCTGCTTAGTTCAGTGGCGATAATTCTGAGAGTACAATGTGTAAGCAGGGACTGCAGAACAGAGATAATTTGACAAAGGTTTCTAAAACTGGGAGGGTGCTGGGAGGGTATTCTGGGCACCATACCTACAACAACAGGCAGTAATGGTAATGGTACTTGAAGTGTTCCATTAAAAAGCAGGGTTCTAGCAATCTAACCAACATGGGAACCCATTTAGAAAAAAAATGTATTAACTAAAATAAGTAAAAAAAAAAATTCAAAAAATGATCCTGAGGAAAGTCACGGACGGGGACTGAAACATTGATCCACATTTGATTTAACCTTTTTTTCAATAAAACAATTAAACTTTTATCATACAAAGACCGTGAGTGCAAGCCAGTTTATATATAAAGTGTTTATATATATATATATATATATATATATATTTATATTGTTTACTTATACAAAATGCAGAACTAACACCTGGGAATATGTTGTGCCCCCCTTGTTTTACAGGAAACAGAATTCACAACACAGTCAAGCTGTAGTCAAATAATTAAAATAACACTAGGCATGTTGCATCAGAAATATTACTACAGAAATAAATCCTGTTCCACCTCATCTCATTTTACTTTTAGTTTCAACTGGAAATTATTAGTCTTCATTCAGCATCCTGTGCATTTTCTTTTCTTTCATTATTGTAAGCATGTACTAGAACACAAACTACTCCATCTCCCACTGTGTATAATATGGACCACTCCCTGGGATTCAGATTAGAGCAATGTTAGAAACGGTGGTTAACATGAGAAGTCAAGATAGGGTCAGGTATTAGACACATGTTATTATTATTATTTATAAAGCGCCAAGAAATTCTGCAGCACTGTCCAATAGGTGGACCAACAGACTTTTATTTGTAACTAGACGAGTTGGACGCGCAAGAACAGAGGGGTTGAGGGCCCTGCTTAATGAACCAACATGCTAGAGGTAGTGGGGTATAGTGACACAAACCATAAGGGTAAGTGTGGCGGAACCAACCTCGCCACTATGCACTGGAGAAGCCTGGTTGCCAGCCTCCTGCCATGTGACTATGGCCCCTGGGATGTATTGCCCTTTAAAGACATGATTTGGGCATAATGGATTTGTGTTGTGCTGCTGCTAGCCCTTTTAAGAACCATCTGGGGACATACTGTGGAGTTACTGGGTGGCCACCATTTCCTGTATCAGAAGCACATGGTGAGAACAATGGATGGCGGCCATTTTAACTCACAGACACTGTGTGGACTTTTCAACACGGTGCCATCTCGCCAGTATTTGTTGCACAGAGACATCGTGCGGTGGTTTTGGACTATACAGCAGGGGACACATTATACAGTGATTGTTTTTTATTTAGCCTGTGTATGTTCTGCAGAATCTGCATTAAACTGTATTTTCCAAAGTACTGAACGGATCTGGGTGAATTTTGGATATGTGGTTCACCCAGATCCCCCAGTTCCAAGGATATACTTTTATGGGGTTATTGCATGTTTTGGGGTCCCTGTGATGTGTTTTATGAAACTGTATTTCTCTGGCTGTGATAATTAGATTACCCATTGTGTTCAGTAATCATATCACAGCCAGAGGGGAGGATTTTGTGTGGGAGTGTCTGGGTGTATTGTATGGATTGATTGGCTGTTTTGTAACGCCCTGTGGGCTGTACTATGTTTGTGGATTGGGAATAAAAGAGACTGTATGTGACAGTACAGGGAGTTCCTGTTTTAACCCTCAAAGTGAAGTGTCGTCTCATTATTGGGGGAAGGATTTATTGTATGCTGTTCCAGTTTGACTGCTAGGAGAGTAAACCTATTCGTATGGTTCCTATTCAACTGTCTACAGCATTCATATGCTTGAGAGAAGGTATACGCTTCTCTGGTTCGGTGATTGTGGTGTCTGCTGCAGTGCTTGGAGTCCTCAGGAAGCGCTAGGAGCATCTTTCAACGGAGGTACCCAGTCGGGGTGCCAGGCGATCTGTTACATTGGTGGCAAGCGGTGGGATGGCGTCCTAGTGCGAGGTAAAGCAGCTCGGAGACACAGTTCGTGGATTTACAAATTGAGGGCAATGCTAGTACCCGTACAGCGACCCTATCTACAAAAGAACTAACTTCAGCAGATCAAGCATGGCGTATGACTACACTCAGGAGGAGTTTGACAGAGAGGTTAATGAGGTGCTGTCTACCTTTGGACCCAATCCCCCAGAGAGAGCCGTGCAGCTCGCCAGGAAACTAGTAGGAGAATACCTGCAATCTCTAGTAGATTTGGCCAAAAAGGAGTCCCAGGGAGCCAAAGGTGTTGTCCTTCCTCCCCAGCGGCAGTGTGAGTCCCAGGGAGCCAAAGATGTCGTCCTTCCTCCCCAGCAGCAGTGTGTACCCCAGGGAGCAGAAGGTGTTGTCCTTCCTCCCCAGCGGCAGTGTGTGTCCCAGGGAGCCAAAGGTGCCGTCCTTCCTCCCCAGCGGCAGTGTGTATCCCAGGGAGCTGAAGGTGTCGTCCTTCCTCCCCAGCGGCAGTGTGTGTCCCAGGGAGCTGAAGGTGCCGTCCTTCCTCCCCAGCGGCAGTGTGTATCCCCAGGGAGCTGAAGGTGCCGTCCTTCCTCCCCAGCGGCAGTGTGTACCCAGGGACTGAAGGTGCCGTCCTTCCTCCCCAGCGGCAGTGTGAGTCCCAGGGAGCCAAAGGTGTCGTCCTTCTTTCCCAGTGGCAGTGTGTACCCCAGGGAGCAGGTGGTGTCATCCTTCCACCCCAGCGGCAGTATGTATCCCAGGGAGCTGAAGGTGCCGTACTTCCTCCCCAGCGGCAGTGTGTCCTGCAGGAAGCGGAGACAGTCGGTCTCGCTCCCCAGCAGCAGGACAATATATTAAAAGGGGAGACAGTTGGTCCCCCTCTCCAACAGCAGAGAGTGTTCCAGGGAGAGGAACCAGTTATCACCTCTCCCCAGCAAGAGGACAAATTATTGAAAGGGGAGACAGTCGGTCTCCCCCTTCAACAGCAGAGAGAGTGTCAGGGAGAGGAGCTTGTTATCGCCTCTCCCCAGCGGCTGAAAGGATGTATGGGAGAGGAGCTTGTTACCCCCTCTCCCCAGCGGCAGCTTAGCCCACCAAGGGGAGACAGTAATCTCCACAACAGTGCAGATGGGACAGTGGTCTCTGCACATGCACCACCGGGGGTAGGGACAGTCGGTCCTGTCCCCCAGCAGCAGGACTGTTTAGGCAAAGGGGAGACAGTCTGTCTCCCCCTCCAGCAACCAGGCTCCAACCAGACTACTCCCGTGGTAGTGCTGGCACCAGGACAGAGTACCGCTGGTCTCTGCCCACTCAGCAACCCACCCAGTACGCTTACCAGTCACCCACACAGCCATGGTGAGGCACCTGGACACGGACAAAGTTCTCCTCTACCCAGGTGTAGTAGCCAGTTATTGTGGGTGGGCTGTATTTCTGATTGTGTTTTGTGGGTGGGCTGCTGGACTAACAAGGGCACTGACCGGCAGGAGGTCAGATACCCTGTTAGTCTGATTGGTAAAGGGGAGAAGTGTGGCGGAACCAACCTCGCCACTATGCACTGGAGAAGCCTGGTTGCCAGCCTCCTGCCATGTGACTATGGCCCCTGGGATGTATTGCCCTTTAAAGACATGATTTGGGCATAATGGATTTGTGTTGTGCTGCTGCTAGCCCTTTTAAGAACCATCTGGGGACATACTGTGGAGTTACTGGGTGGCCACCATTTCCTGTATCAGAAGCACATGGTGAGAACAATGGATGGCGGCCATTTTAACTCACAGACACTGTGTGGACTTTTCAACACGGTGCCATCTCGCCAGTATTTGTTGCACAGAGACATCGTGCGGTGGTTTTGGACTATACAGCAGGGGACACATTATACAGTGATTGTTTTTTATTTAGCCTGTGTATGTTCTGCAGAATCTGCATTAAACTGCATTTTCCAAAGTACTGAACGGATCTGGGTGAATTTTGGATATGTGGTTCACCCAGATCCCCCAGTTCCAAGGATATACTTTTTATGGGGTTATTGCATGTTTTGGGGTCCCTGTGATGTGTTTTATGAAACTGTATTTCTCTGGCTGTGATAATTAGATTACCCATTGTGTTCAGTAATCATATCACAGCCAGAGGGGAGGATTTTGTGTGGGAGTGTCTGGGTGTATTGTATGGATTGATTGGCTGTTTTGTAACGCCCTGTGGGCTGTATATGTTTGTGGATTGGGAATAAAAGAGACTGTATGTGACAGTACAGGGAGTTCCTGTTTTAACCCTCAAAGTGAAGTGTCGTCTCATTATTGGGGAAGGATTTATTGTATGCTGTTCCAGTTTGACTGCTAGGAGAGTAAACCTATTCGTATGGTTCCTATTCAACTGTCTACAGCATTCATATGCTTGAGAGAAGGTATACGCTTCTCTGGTTCGGTGATTGTGGTGTCTGCTGCAGTGCTTGGAGTCCTCAGGAAGCGCTAGGAGCATCCTTCAACGGAGGTACCCAGTCGGGGTGCCAGGCGATCTGTTACAGTAAGGGTAGAAAACTAGGAAGCTAGATGGGTAAAAGGAAAGTTTGTAGTTTGGTGGAGAATTGCTGAAGGTCAGGACCGTGGACGTTTCTGCAAGACTGAGCTGAGGGTGGTGTAATTTGGTATGGTGTAATTGGTGTAATTTGGGTACAAGGTATGCAGATGTCAAAGGTCAGCAGATGGTGGTCAGACAAAGGAAATGTAACATTAGAGAAATTAGTACATTTTAATGGTGCTCTAAACTGAGAATTCTTAGTGATCACTGGATTATCCACCCACAGGGCTGCCCTCAGAAATTTTGGGGTCCCTTACACAGCTCAAGGACCTGAGATCCCATTCCACCATCTTGCATTAACTTAGTAGTACAGTCAGTGCCATCCCTGTCCCGCCTGCCAGGATCTATTGAGTATGGGTATAGGGGATGTAGCGAGAGTATAGCTCCACCTCTTGCTCATTCCCAGCTCCACCTCGTAACCCCCAGTTCCACAGCCATCTCTCCCCAGCTCCACCTCATCTCTTCTTTCCAGCTCTTCTCTCCAGCACCATCTTCCTCTCACTCCCACCCATTTTCCTTCTCTAGCACCATCTCCATCTCCCTCTCACCCATCGCTTAATCTCCCTCTCAGCATATCTCCATCTCTTTTTCACCTCCAGCTCCATTTCTCCTCTCTTGCTCCCTCTCTCCTTTCCATCTCCCTTTCATGCCCAGATCCTTCTCTCCAGCTCCATCTCTATTTCAACCCCATCCTCCTTCTCCTGCTCCATCTGTTTCTCAACCGAGCTCCATCTTGTCAGGAATAACAAGAGATCCTACACGCAGAATGTAACAGAAAAGTAACGTATACTGGACCTTAGAATGGCCGGACTAACATCACAAGAACAGAGAGTAATGATACACGACCCAAGGTGAGGGATGCCAGAAATCAGCCAGAGTACAAGAGCCAAGGTCAAAGGAATACAGAAGGTAAAATTGTCAAACACAGCCAAAAGTCAAAATCCGAGATAACAATACAAAGAAATGCACTATTGGGACTAAGAAGAAGCACAACAGGGCAATAAGTCTTTCCCTGAGCCTCCCTTAAGTACTATGTTACTTGATCTGGAGTCATGCGTCCAAAACATTTGAATTCAAACGTTTTGGTGTGCCATGATGTCATTAGCGTCATGACGTCGGCGTGCATGCGCCACATCATAAAAGGGGCGGAGCTACCGTGGCCAAGAAGAGACTCTTTTGGCATGTCCCCAATCCCTTGCCTGAAGATGCCAGCTTTTGGGACAGCCTGAGATTCTGAGTGTAATCCCCATTTGAGAACAAAAGGCTCTCTAGGATCGGGACACAAATTGAGAACCCCTGTCAGAGATTATTTCTTGTTTTTTAGAGAGACCATTATTGGGGATTTATACCTTTTTTCGTCAGATTTGTTATGGGAGCGACAATAGATGAAAAACCTTTGATGAATCGTCTATTGCAGGCTTCCCCAAACTCCGGCCCTCCAGATGTTGCTGAACTACAACTCCCATGATGCTCAGCCTATCTATTTCATTTATAGAATCATGGGAATTGTAGTTCAGCAACATCTGGAAGGCCGGAGTTTGGGGAAGCCTGGTCTTTAGTAATTAGAAAAACCAATGAATGTTTGAATGGCTTTTAGCCCAATAGGTAGTGGCCAATGGAGAATGGAATCCAATTTTTTGGGGTCCATAGTGAATCCTTTACCGGAGATTACATAATCCAGGAAACCAATTTCAGACTGGTCAAAAAGACATTTCTCCAATTTACGATATAAACCATGTTGTAGCAGTCGAGCCAATACCTTTCTAACTTGTTTGTGATGTCTTTCTTTATCCTTAGAGTATTGAAAAATATCGTAAAGATACACAATCATTTCCTCTCTCAACACATCATTTATAAGACCCCGGAAGACAGCCAGGGCATTACACAAACTGAAAGGCATGACAGTGTACTCGTAATGCCCATATCTGGTGTTAAAAGCTGTCTTCCACTCATCATCTTTATGAATCCTTACAAGATTATAAGCTCCTCTTAAGTCAAGTTTAGTAAAGATTTTGTCTCCCTTCAACCTATCAAACAATTTAGTAATAAGAGGTATTTGATAGGCAAGGCCTGAGATCACCCTCCTTTTTAGACACAAAGAAAAACCCTGCCCCTGCTGGAGAAAAAGATCTTCTAAATACGAAATACTTCCTTGGCAAAGGCAGCAGCCAACTCAGGAGAAGAGGACAACTTGGGTAAAGAAATGAAGTGCGCCATTTTGGTGAATCTATCAACCACAGTCAAGATTACCATATTTTTGTCCGTATCCAAGGTTTATTATATTGAGAGGCTGAAGCAAACCACAAGGGAGAGTATGGGACAATTTTGTCCTACTACAGACACAGCATGCCAAGACATAGTCATAGAAACATAGAAACATATAATGTGACGGCAGATAAGAACCATTCTGCCCATCTAGTCTGCCCAATTTTCTAAATACTTTCATTAGTCCCTGGCCTTATCTTATAGTTAGGATTGCCTTATGCCTATCCCATGCATGCTTAAACTTCTTTACTGTGTTAACCTCTACCACTTCAGCTGGAAGGCTATTCCATGCATCCACTACCCTCTCAGTAAAGTAATACTTCCTGATATTATTTTAAAATCTTTGTCCCTCTAATTTAAGACTATGTCCTCTTGTTGTGGTAGTTTTTCTTCTTTTAAATATAGTCTCCTCCTTTACTGTGTTGATTCCCTTTATGCATTTAAATGTTTCTATCATATCCCCCCTGTCTCGTCTTTCCTCCAAGCTATAAAATGTTGATATCTTTACACAAGGACAGCCTCCAATATTCTTTAGAAATTAGATCATATGTTTTACGTATACATGGGTGGCCAGCAATTTTACTATCATGGAGGCAAAGGAGTATCTCTCTCTGGTGTTCTGGTGGAACATATAATCTACCTTCAGGAATATTTACAGAAGCTAAGTTTTGCTTAGCAATGATACTAGATATCAGAGGAGACCGTATACAAATACGGGTATGAGCAATGATACGTTGCAAGGGTACTACAGACATTTTGTTGGTTTCAAGACGCGCTAAAGATTTGACCTGCCTAGATAAAGTGTCTGCTGTAGAGCTTTTTGACCCCAGTCTATAGATCAAAACATAGTTAAACCTATCCAAGAAAAGGGACCGACGAGCTTGTCTAGCTGACAAATGTTTGGCTTCTCCAATATAAGAGAGATTCTTATGGCCGGTTAGTATGGTTATGGGATGTAAGGTACCTTCTAAGAGATGACGCCATTCTTTCAAGGCCCAAATAATAGCAAGGAGTTCCCTATCACCTATATCATATCTCCTTTCTGTGTCTGATAGTTTTTTAGCATAAAACCCACAAGGATGAAGAGGTTAATTATGGTCTTTTCGCTGTGACAATACAGCTCCTAAACCAGTTTCAGATACATTGACTTCCAAAAGAAAAGGAAGGTTAAGGTCAGGGTGTACAAGTATAGAAGCAGAAGAGAAAGTGTTTTTAAGTGGTTCAAAAGCTTCAATAGCTTAGAGAGACCATTATTGGGGATTTATACCTTTTTTCGTCAGATTTGTTATGGGAGCGACAATAGATGAAAAACCTTTGATGAATCGTCTATTGCAGGCTTCCCCAAACTCCGGCCCTCCAGATGTTGCTGAACTACAACTCCCATGATGCTCAGCCTATCTATTTCATTTATAGAATCATGGGAATTGTAGTTCAGCAACATCTGGAAGGCCGGAGTTTGGGGAAGCCTGGTCTTTAGTAATTAGAAAAACCAATGAATGTTTGAATGGCTTTTAGCCCAATAGGTAGTGGCCAATGGAGAATGGAATCCAATTTTTTGGGGTCCATAGCGAATCCTTTACCGGAGATTACATAATCCAGGAAACCAATTTCAGACTGGTCAAAAAGACATTTCTCCAATTTACGATATAAACCATGTTGTAGCAGTCGAGCCAATACCTTTCTAACTTGTTTGTGATGTGTTTCTTTATCCTTAGAGTATTGAAAAATATCGTAAAGATACACAATCATTTCCTCTCTCAACACATCATTTATAAGACCCCGGAAGACAGCCAGGGCATTACACAAACTGAAAGGCATGACAGTGTACTCGTAATGCCCATATCTGGTGTTAAAAGCTGTCTTCCACTCATCATCTTTATGAATCCTTACAAGATTATAAGCTCCTCTTAAGTCAAGTTTAGTAAAGATTTTGTCTCCCTTCAACCTATCAAACAATTTAGTAATAAGAGGTATTTGATAGGCAAGGCCTGAGATCACCCTCCTTTTTAGACACAAAGAAAAACCCTGCCCCTGCTGGAGAAAAAGATCTTCTAATAAAACCCTTTTCCAGGTTTTCCATGATATACTCTTCGAACCATATTGTCTTTAGCAGAGAGAGGGTATACTGTGCTTCTAGGAGGCATGGTTCCAGGAAGTAGGTCAATGACACAATCATATGTCCTATGAGGTGGCAACAATTCAGGTTTACCTTTATCAAAAACTTCTTTCACCATTATATACTGTTCCGGTATCTCTGTAGACAAGGGAGACATAGTAGGAACATTAATAAGGTGAATTGTTGCTTCAAGAAACTATATTGTCAACTTCCCGGTCAACAGAAGGATTGTGTTTCCTTAACCAAAGGAACCCCAACACCACTGGGAAAGTAGGGGAAGTAATGTGTTGAAATGTTTTTTATGTAACACACCCACCATTAGCAGAAATGGTATGGACTCATGTGTAATTATGTGTACCTGGAGTGGTCTACCATCTATCAAAGCCATGGTATTGACTTTATTGTTATCCCAGGTTAGGGTGATGTTAATTAGAAGCCTTTGATCTTTATGTTTCATTCTGGAGGACAAAGAAGAAACACCCAAGGCCTGTCCCCCAGAAGGACTTAGGTGCGGGAGTTTTCCGGCCTGTTAGGGAAATTTAGGCGGAGATGTCCCCCTTGTATGCAATACAGACACAGTCCCTCCCTTCATCTGTATTGTCGTTCAGCCTCACTTAAACTAGTCACACCTACTTGTATAGGTTCAGGTAAAGTAGGTGCCATGGAGTCAGGATTAATATTACTAAATACAGGAACCATACGAAAAGGATCTCAAGTGTTTTGCATGTATCTCATTCTCTCATCAATGTGAGAAATAAATGTTATAATTTCTTATAAGTTTTCTGGATGATCTCTAGTGACTATTTAATTTAAAATAGCATCTGATAGACTGTTAAGGAACACATCAAAGAAAGCTTGATTGTTCCAAGCAACTTCAGAAGCTAGAGATCTAAACTCAAGGGCATATTCCATCAGTTCTGGTTCTGGTTCTTTGCTTAAAGGGAAACTCCAGTGCCAGGAAAACAATCTGTTTTCCTGGTACTGCAGGTACCCTCTCCCTCCCTCCCCCCAATCCCCGGTTGCTGAAGGGGTGAAAACCCCTTCAGTGACTTACCAGAGGCAGCGGCGATGTCCCTCGTTGCTGCTTCTTTCTCCGCACCGCTCCTCTTAGTGATTGCATCGACCGGTGGGTGAGACTGATCCCGGCCACTGGCCGGGGAGACCTTATGCGCATGCGTGGCAATGCTGCGCATGCTTATTAACGCTCCCCATAGGAAAGCATTGAAAATGCATTTCAATGCTTTCCAATGGGGAAATGAGCGACGCTGGAGGTCCTCACACAGCGTGAGGACGTCCAGCGACGCTCTAGCACAGGTTTCCTGTGCTATGATCAAGGAAGTGTCCTCGAGTGGACCCACTAGTAGACAGCCACTAGAGGTAGAGTCAACCCTGCAAGGTAATTATTGTAGTTTATAAAAAACTGCAATAATTACAGTTGCAGGGTTAAGAGTAGTGGGATTTGGCACCCGATGGGTAGAAGTGGTCTGGGTGCCTGGAGTGTCCCTTTAAACCTAAGAAGAGACCTGGCCACATTGGCCTTCTTACTGGGTGGGTCAAACATAAGCCTGAATGCTTCAACAAACGCAGCATAGTTACCTGGAGTCCTGCTGCTGACTCAGTCTGATGGGAGTGTGGGTTTGGAGCTTGGCATCTCCCCCTCGTCTTGTGCTGCCTCCTCCCACTCCTGCTGTGGCTCCTCTCCCTTCTGCGCAGCTCTTCCTGTAGCTGCGAGGAAGAGATGTGATCTCACTTCCTCCCACATGCTGATGTGAAAGGGGCCTGGTCAGGCTCTTGAAGGGCCCCTTTTCAGAAATACCCATAGGGTTACCCTAACAGCACAGGCCACCCGATGGGCCCCCCTGAGGGTGTGGGCCCTGATGTGGCCGCATCGGCTGCACTGGTGGTAGTTCAGTCACTGGTATTGGCTGCACCCTTCTGATGGCAGCCCTGTCCACACAGTTAACATTCATTCTCAAGAGTAATTCCCAGATGTGTTCCTAATTGGTAAAAAAAGGCTTCAGTCCAAGGTTACAATTTATGGTTCTTCCTCATAAAATGTCACTCTTTACCATTCGTAAGTCTAACACAAGACTTTAAAGTGTTTTATAAATCATATTGTAACAAAATTCAGAATTTTATATGAGCTTGTTAAACTCCACAAATGATATGTTAACCCAGGCTGACCAGATGTCCTGGTTTTACTGGTATAGTTCCAAATTTTCATTCATATGTCCCAGCATCCCAAGAAAGTTTTTTGGGAAACACAAATGTACTTCTGGGCAACCCAGATAGGAGGCAGACATTGGGGTTAAACCATCTGAGAGCAGTTTAACCTATTAAAGGAAAGAGAGCATCCCAGGGACCTCCTGGCATGATTACATCTTCATTAATGGTCTTACGTGCTCCCAACTTGCGCCGTTACAGTCCATAATGAATGCAGGGGCGAGGCTCATCGCCTCACCCTTCTGTCAGTCCCTACATTGGCTTCCTATAAGATATAGAGCTCAATTTAAAATTCTGATTCTTGCTTTCAAATCTCTACATAATGCTGCTCCCACCTATATATCCTCCCTTATACACAAGTATGTCCCGTCTAGGCCCTTACGATCTGCTGAAGACTTACATCTATCTTCTGTCCATATTCCCACTTCTGATGCTCGCCTTCAAGATTTCTCAAGGGCTGCACCGTTCCTGTGGAACTCGCTTCCCTCCTCTGTTAGATGCTCACCCAGTCTCCACTCCTTCAGAAAATCATTAAAAACCCACTTCTTCATAAAAGCGTATCACTAAAACTGTTAATAGCTCCTGACTGATTCCTCTGCAACTGTCCCTAGTCTAATACTATCCTAACCTTTTGTGTAATTTTACCCCACTCCCTCTAGCATGTAAGCTCATTGAGCAGGGCCCTCAACCCTCTGTTCCTGAGTGTCCAACTTGTCTGGTTTACTTCTACATGTCTGTTTGTCCACCCATTGTAAAGCGCTGCGGAATTTGATGGTGCTATATAAATAACATACTAATAATAATAATAATTACGTTGAAGTTGTTATGGTGACCAAAATATTCCTTTAATTTGCTTAAAGGGACATTCTAGTGCCTGGAATACAAACATGCTGTTTAGGTCTCCTGCCCCCCCGTTATAAAAGGTGTTCTTTCTCACCTTCTTTTCAGCGCCGCACCGATCTCGCTACGACTCACCCTGCTTCGCCTCCTTGGGTGTCCCGGTTTTTTATTTCCAAAATCTGGTCGCCCTGTATTCCCCAAGTCATGCTATTAATCCTTCAACCCACAGCATACTACACCCACAGCAATATCCCAACACCATACTTTATAATTACCTCCAAATATGATACACTAAAGTGTCACTGTCACTCTGTTATATAACTGGAGGTGTCATTTCTTTCTCAGTATTACAGGGACTCTGGGCTAACAATAAAATGGTGCCAACATTTTGAAGGCCCCACAGGGGGTCCAGCCCCTGTCACCACCCCCAATACCCCCACCAAGACTCTGTTAACTCCTATTATTTACAGCCATCAATTAAGCGACCATCTACAGGAGTAGCCCCCAACTGTCTCAAGGCTTATTAACTGCATGGTAACTCTTCCATTCACCATTGATGGCATTTTGCATGGGCCAAATCCCATCATTCTCAGCCATCAGTAAGGAAACTATCCAAAGTGAATTTCGAATTTAAGGCCAGAGTAGCTGAACTGAACTTTTTCAAATTCGGTTATTTTGACCTTAAATTTAAAATTTACACAATTTTACCTTGAATTCTCACTTTTTAGTAAATAATCCCCTTCAAGTCAGTTTTACTTTCCACTCAGCGACTCTAGCCTTTGTGAAATTCAGGTTGAATTCTCTGTTTTGTGAATAACCCTGTCAGTGTGTTATAGTTTGACCAGCATTTAGAATATACCTGCTAACTTGACTTAAAAAACTTCTATCACACTCAGCCATCCGCTGGCCCTATGCACTAGGCTAATTCCCCTAATTTCCATCACCAGAGAGTGCTGGGTGTGACAACTCATATCGCACCCAGCCACCAAGCGACTGCCAGCTGGGTGTAAACTGTATAATACTATTAAATCACAATTAGTTTTCTGTTTAGATTATGTTTTTGTCTCTATCTTTACCAGCCATTTTATACTGTCTGATAACTCCACTAGCTTTTTAGCATTTCAAAATCTGTCTGATGCTTTGACTCATGTGGGATCCAGGATGATAAATCTAAGCTTGCCAAGGCTTGTAGTGGAGGTGGGTCCCCTCCTAGACACAGAGTCTCCACCCACCCATTCTTCTTCTTAACCCTGCACTCCTACAACATGTGCACAGTCGTCATCACACACGGTACACACAACAGGCGTGCTCTTTGATAGAAGCAACCACCAGCTTGTACACACCAGGACTCCCCATCATCATCACCTGCTGTCCCCAATGAGGTAAGATTAATGACATGCATGCTCTCGTCCGCTGGCTATAGAACAAAGCATATTGAGAGCAGAAGGCAAGGCTGGTGTGCGATGATGCGTTGCTCAGTACTGCAGGCCCTTTCTGATGCTGATGGGATTTTATTTCTCACAGCCTGTACATGTGGCTTATAACAGAGGATGTCCACCTACATCCCCTATAATTTACATGTCAGCCTGCTGTCCTTGTACCGTGCAGTCACTGTCATCCTGTCTGCCATCCTTTGGGTGAAACGTATACATTGTAGCATCCTTTAATCACTGAAAAGAGACATCATGGACCATCTGTGATGCCGTCTGCCTCTGCTTATAATGTAACACAACACTCGGAATTTCCTATCATTCTAATTCTGAGAACGTGGACTGTCACCGATTTTTCTTTTATTCTTACATAGTGTGGTGAGATATTAACCCCTTAGGGAAACAGCTTCAGAAGTAAAAGGCCAGCATAAAGGAACATTTTCGTCATGACTCATTAAGGGGTTAATTAGCTGATTGCTGAATATGTTGTGTGTGGTGGTGGTGGTGATGCTGAAGGGACAAACGTGTGAAGGTCAAAATGCAGAAATGTGGGTAAATCTCTGTGTCTCTAGTAATTCTTTCCCCGGTAAATCTCATTAGGAATGTAGCAGGGGCTAATCATTTAAGCTGACAGGGCGGATGAGGGGATAAAGGGAGCTGCTGCAGCTTCATCTTCAGGTTGCACTGTCTGCAACCTCTAACATGATTTGCCAATATGAAGTGTTGGAGGGGGAGGGGTGTCTCAGAATATTGATATTCATTCCAGCATTCTTTAAAATGTTGCAGAGTTTCTCGATACCCATGCCTTTCCCTGAGGAGATTATAAGGTCCCCGCTGATAGCCCTTAGGATGGCTTTTCAAGGGCAGCCTTCCTCGCCCCCCCTTCCTCCATGTAAACTACGGTAGAGTAAACCCAGCCAGACTGCTGCTGCTGCTGAAGCAAGGAAGCCAAGGCGTGTTTGTGTTCTTTGCATTGTCATCAGCTGAAATGCCTCCCTCCCTCCTCCCCACCTTCCCATATCCAGCTTGTCTACAATGTAACAGCCTTTGACAAGGAAACCTATACATCTAATAATTGCTCACATAGTTAAACGATTTACTTTCTAATGACCGCAGGTGATCGGTTTTCTGAGAAACAATACATCAGATGTTGTTTATATATAATTTCTTACATTGTTAATAAGATATCCATCGTTTCAGTGACAATGATTTTCCTTACATTATAAATCAATATCCCTTATTAAATTCACCTATACAGTAATTATATTACAATTTTAATTTGCCCATTTTGCAATATTTCACATCTTTTCCTCTGCTTACACATTCTTTTTTCTTAACTTTATTGATTTTATAGTCTTTTTGCAAAGTAACTATTGGCTAAAATATGAAGATGTTACTGTAGGTTGTTCTGCAACCATTTTTTATACCGTCACATTATAATCCTTTACTTGCCTGTTGTATTTTGTTAAATCTTTAAAATTGCAACCTTATTTATTTATCATTTCTACTTACCAAACTTTAGTGTCTTACCTCGCAGAAACTTTTAATTCTTTTCAGTACTCTTTTCAGTTGGCTAAATGTATTCCATATATTCTTTACATCTTTTAACCCATTCTCTACAGAATTCTTCCAATATTTCAATTTTAGAATATTTAAAACATATAGATTTAGAATACATTTGCAGATATTTCTGATAAATTTTTTTTGTTTTTTTTCTATCTTTCACAAAAATATTGTAGGGGGTGGTGTATAAGAGACTATGTTCAGTATCATGAACAAATCTATATGTTCAGAAAACAATTAGCCCATAAAAGGCAAATATATCAATTTTATAGTATACGGTATATGCTATTTTAATATAAAGGCAACAATAAGCTGGTGTTGCATCATGCTCTCAATACACTCCCATACATAGAGGCTAATACTTTGGGTTTCAAAAGTAATCTTTATCAAAATTAATCTTTGAACTTTGAAACACCAAATGTATATTTCACAAAACAAATAAAATAAGCAATGGGTGAGTAATTTCGATTGTTTTGTGATTCAGAGATTTGTCAAAAAATTTGTATAAAGAAGGTTTTTACACCTTCATTATGTCCCCACCCACATGTCATGGTATAGCAAACTACTGGAGGATGTGGGGTCATGTTGCTGTCCGTGGACATTGGGTGGAGCATAAACTAAATAATGTGATGGAAAACGTTTCTGCCCACCCCCTGGACTTTTTTTCATGGAACATTTTTTCTTTTTTGGTGCATTTTCTTGTTATACAGGTTTTTTTTTGTTTCTATAGTAACATCAGGTTATTATGGTTTTTAATTTCTTTTTTTGCTGATGAAAAGGAGAGTTTTGAAGGCAAGTATGATTTTGTTTTACAGGAGTCATAATTACCATCCCTTTCACTATTATTACGGAGAGGGAGATATGAGGCTTTTTTTTTTATTTAGGTGGGGTGTCTAGAGGCTCTTGGACCCATAGCCAATTTAGGAATGGGGTTTAAAGTTTGTTTGGGGTGGACAATGGCATATCCACACCCATCTGCTATTAATATCCCACCCATGGGCTGTGCAACCCACTACTTTATATTTTTAAATAGCCACCATCCACTGACATTGTGTAGGGCCTGGGTGTGACAATGGGATGGTCTCCCCATCTCTGTAATAACTGTTTCTCATGTCTGGGGGATGGGGTGTACAATGGGATGTCCTCCTTGCTCTTTTATTAGCTCACACCCACTGCCCCATTGGCTGAGTGAGTCTAAACAAAGCCACATCAATATTTTTAATAGAGTTCCACCCTGTGACCATAGTTGGAGGCAGGGAGTGGACAGTGACCCCCAATTATTTAGTTTCTGCCCCAGTGGTGTATTTTGGTTTTGTGCTGCCCTAGTCATGATGAAACTCAGTCACACCCGACACACACTGACAGAAATGCATACACACTCACTGATGGACACACACTGAGTCAGTGTTAGACACACACTCAATCAGAGTCAGAAACACACACTGAGAGACACACATACACTCACTGACAGACACACATACACACTCACTGACAGACACACATTCATCGACAGACACACACACTGAGAGACACAGATACACATTCACTAACAGACACACTAACTGACAGACAGACACATACACATTCACAGAAGGACACACACACTCAGTGACAGACATACACATTCAATGACAGACATACACATTCACTGACAAACACACATACACTCTCACTGACAAACACACACACACACACACACACACTCAGTGACAGACACATGCATACACTGTCACTGACAAACACACACACATTTAGTGATAGACACATACACTCTCACTGACACACACACACACACACACTTGGTGACAGACACATACACTCTTACTGACACACACACACATACACACGCTCAGTGACAGACACACACATACACTCTCACAGGCAAACACAAACACACACACTAAGACACATATACATACACACTCACTGACACACACACACACACTTGGTGACAGACACATACACTCTTACTGACACACACACACATACACACGCTCAGTGACAGACACACACATACACTCTCACAGGCAAACACACACACACACACACACACTAAGACACCTATACATACACACTCACTGACAAACACATTCATACTGATAGTGACACACTGTATACACTCTTACTGACACACACACACACATACACACACACACTCAGTGACAGACGCACACATACACTCTCACTGGCAAAAACACACACACTAAGACACATATACATACACACTCACTGACAAACACATACATACTGATAGTGACACATGCATTCACTGTCACTGACAAACACACACACATTTAGTGACAGACACATACACTCTCACTGACACACACCCACTCACTCAGTGACAGACACACACATACACTCTCACTGCCAAACACACACTTAGTGACAGACACATACATACACTCTTACTGAAACACACACACACACACTAAGACACATTTACATACACACTCACTGACAAACACATACATACTGATAGTGACACACTCACAATTTGTCAAGTCTTGACAAAGTCCTTCAAAGAGGATGAAATGCGTAGACATTCTGCCTCCCGTCTTGTCTGCATCTCCAGCTCGGTTTACGGTTATTGTCCGGGAGTGGTTTTCGGCAACTGCTGCGGTGACTGCTGTGATTGGAACGACCCACACTCCCTATCCCGTGGTAGGAGTTGGCGTGCTCCTCCAACCTCACACCAAGGTTGGACGGCCAGGGTAAGTTACTTTGACATACCCCTAGAGTGGTTTAGCTCGGGGATATATTTTTCATAGCAACACCCTTAGCCTTTACCTGGTCGTTTGGCGGGTTTAAGAGCTTCCTCCCCCAGGATCAGTGGATGTGTTTGGATGTGGTCTACTTTATTTTATTTTATTTTTATCTTTGTGTGCACACTTTCAGTTCCAGCTGCTACCTATTTTTTCATTGGTGTAGGGGGCCCCACACTGTTGTTTTGTGACTTGGTACTGGATAACATTATTGCTGTTTGTGTGATACATTTAATCTTAACTGTATCATTATCAGTTATTTTATTATTCTATGTGTAAATAAATTTTGTATTATGCATTTCATATCTGATTGATTCCATTGTTGTTTTATATCAGTCTTAACGATCCCTGGATGATTTATCTGATTCATATCAGTTTTGTCAAGTAGTTGCCATTCTGGAGTACAGTCTTAAGTGGTGATAGTTGTTTTTTGGAGCGCTCACATATCCTTGTTTATCTATTATAGTATAATAGTATATACATTATACAAGAGTCTCTCTGCCTCTCTGAAAACAGCACCCACATGGAATGTTTTTGTTTTTGTTTCCGGGGATGCTAAGTGTATTGCTTTCATGCAACCAGAATCTTGTATACACCGGGTTGGTGAGGAACAAGTAAAACTTCTACTTATTTACTGTAGGTATCAGTTGCTCACTATCTAATTGCTGAGTGTGTTTGGTTATTATTTTTTCTGAAATATACTTCAATTAAATTCTTTATTACATCATTGAAATATTGAACATATAACACACAATAAGCATTTCACATATACTTTTTTTTAATTCTTTATTTTTGTTGTGCATGGTAACAGCAAAAATTGCATAATATACACTGGATAGTAATGGATTCGCTTATCAAAGATGGTAAATGTACATATTCAGCACTTTTTATAAAAAAGATGAAAGACAAGAGAAGCATAGTGCAGATTAAGGTGATGATTGAAGTAGAAGGTGAGCAGATTGAAGTAAATGGAAAGTAAATAGCTGTAAAGGGTAACAGGTAACTTATCTGCGAGTAAGAACCCCCCAAAATCCCCCCCAGAACAGCTAAAGATCGAAGTCCTGCAAAGATATAGATGGTAGCAATAGGTGAACTGCTGTAGAAGTGAGATCGGCAGGTAGACAGCGGCACAGCTTTAAGGTCAGCCTATGCCCCGCTGGGGCCCAGAGCAGTCTCCCCATGGAAGTCCCAGAGACTCTCCTGGGTAGAGTTGCACAGCCACAGCAATTAATCGGGTGAGACCTGTGTAGGTATCAAGGGGTCCCAGCTTGATGATCAACTCAGTCTCACTGCTGGCTATTAGATGGATTGAGTACTGGGTTGGATCTTCCAGTAAGGACTGCAGCACTGGTCGGATCTCCCGGTACATAACTCAATCAGTTCGCCCAAATGTTACAGGACTTCAGTGGTGTCTCCGAAGGAGTCAGAGTGGCATGCGTTGTCCGCCATTTTGTACATGCTTAAATACCAGTTGTGTGTTCAGCAGGTACACCGTGTGCACTCGGCAGTGTGGGGAAGCCTCAAGAGGGTAGACAGGGTCATCCCCACTGGTCCGAAGGGGGGGGGGGGGCACCAATCGGCAGCACAGGTCAGGAATGGAGATCGGCCGCTTCTCCATTCCCCCAGACTCACTAGGCCACCAAGCCTGCTCTCAGTGCGTCGAAAACATGGGTCTCCGTGGGCATCAGACACGCTTCAATGTCATCCAGATGGGTTCAGAAGCACCCCAAATTTAATAAGGGTCACTGAGGGGGGTAAAAAAGCTGTGTTTATGAGAGTATACTCTGGAGCTCATACAAGATGCATGCGTCCAGCTTGACTGACAGGCCCCACCCCCCACATATATTTTTTAAACAGAATATTACTGCTTTAAATGGGATGCAGAGTAGTTGGAGAAGTAGTAGGAGATAATTGTAGAGATTTATCAAGACAGATCAGGTGCTATTATGGATGCAAAGTGCTAAATGTTGAGTGGTGATGTATAGTTTGCCTAATGAATTATACTTTATTTAGTATTTTGCTTCAGAATTGTACCTCTCTTTGCTTGAGAAATCTATTCCCAGCTGCTCACAGATCTCTTTTCCTAACTTGCAGAAGTATAGAGCCTCGCGGCTTAAACGTTGTATCATTGTTTTGTCTCTTGGACCATAATTAAAATATCTTACTCTTCACCCTGCACTGTGTAGCTAGTGGCTCTATACCTCTGGATTTAACAGCGCTGCGGAATCTGTGTGCGCTTTATAAATAGCAATAATAAATAAATATTGGGGACTAGCGGACCTCCCCCACAGAGCTCCGGTGCATCAAAATACTAGTGTTCTGCACTCTAGTACCTGGTTGGATACTTTTTCCTTACTTGCATCTGTATTTGAGAAAAACATACATGAGAGCAGGTAAAAGAGATTATGTATCAGTGTAAAAGATTCTCTGCTTTTCCCGCTAGACCACCAGGAACTGGACCTATCTTTGCCTCCTCAACAATCCAAAACTTATAAAAAGGAGAAGCTCCTAAGGAATGAGTAGGGAATGCAACAATTACATTAAATTAAAGGAATGATCCATCTAGCCTTGTTACCACACTGTTATCACAAGCATAATATGAGGTATCCAAAGTTCTAATTTTTGGAACTTGGGGCCTTTTTTACATAATTCGAAAATGAAATGAATTGTGAAGGGAAATTTGAATAGCACAATTAAGGAATTTCCAGTTACACTGTAGTTGGCTATAACTTGGGTATTTTAGCCAAAATTTAGGAATTCGGCTTTGAGTTCACTGCAATTCAAAGTTTAATAAACAAGCCCTTAGTATCTCTTCAGTTTTAATGTAACCAGTGGCGTTAGCTTGTTATTGGCTGTTGAACCATGGGAAAACAGACTTAATCTGAGAGAAACCTGGTATATTGCTTTTTTATTGTAGCTTCTAAATGCTGCCTCTCCCACAAAAGTGGGCGAGGCCAGGTTCCTTTTAAAAACAAAATAGCTATAAAATAATTGGTTTTAAGCGTTGAGATCATTTAGATGTAGTTTGTTAACATCTACCATGAAAGACAGGTAAGCAGGTATATTTACATTCAGACTAAATCTGTCATGGTATGCTGGTAGTTTGGAAATCTATATTCTAGAACAGGGGTAGGCAACCTTTTAGCAGCACTGTGCCGATATTGTGATGTCCCGTAGCGTGCTGGTCCTATTTTTTTTTTTTAATTGAAGTGTGTATGCTGCCGTATTCTGCTTGTGTTATTTATACTGTAATTGCTTTGTATCGTAGTATTTGTGCGTACATGAGCTATTATATGTTCATGAGTAGATTGTGGTATCGTGTATGATACATTTAAATGTTGGCTGTGTATGGGGGCAGCTTGTGGAATTGTGTGTGTGGATGGATATGTCACATTGTGTGTTTAGTAGTGTGTGTATGTGTGGGGGTTGTTTGGGGTATTGCATGTGAGAGGCTGTATGTGGGGTTGTGTGTATATATGTGGATTGTTAGTGGTGTTGCATTTGTGCGGATTGTGTGTATGTTTGTGCGGATTGTGTGTATCTTTGTGTGTGGGCTGTCCGTATTATTTGTATGAGGGGAGGGTCTTTCTGCATTTCTGTGTATATCTAGCAGTGTGGGTGGCTTCCCTGGGTTCCAGTGGGGACCATGTTGGCCAGGTACAGATCAAGGACCAGAGCTGCAACAACAACTGCGAGCTGCTCTACTACTGTGTGGATTCCCATTCACAAGTGCTGGAATGAAGTGCTCTGAGATCACTTCCTCTACATGCTGCAATGCATAAATTGAGGATTGTCCTTCACCACCTCTTTGTATTAGCAGATATCTGAAGTTTTACTGGGACTCCTGATAGGCCAGAGCCTGTTTGGCTCTAGCAGCCTTGAGTGCCATGCAAAGGCACCTCGAGTGCCGTGCATGGCACTAGTGCCATAGGTTGCCTACCCCTGTTCTAGAATATGCATACAAATGTCTGACACATAATTCCAATCTGTATGAACTGCAATAATAAAAAAGTATATATAGCAAAACTCTATTGTATTCAGCAAAGTTTAAAATATGGACAATTTTCCCTGGCACCAGATATCCTGGGTTCTAGTTTTGGATGGGTTAATAGCACCAAACTGTGTAGTTTTTAGATGTCAAATGGTTAATTCCTCAGTCATCCTATACACCTCCACTGTGAGGACACCATTTGCAGCCACAGATAACTGCTAATTCTTATTAATACATTTCGTTTCATCCCAAACTGTAATTATTCTGAATTTGGGCTGATGAGATAATCAGTCAAATTCTCAAACTGTAAGCTGAATTATAACCGAATCACAAACCAAACAAAATGTGTGATAGCCAAGCATGTTTGCTTTGATTTGTAATTCTGAATTATGCCCTTGGAGCCAATAAAAGAGATGACTGATACGAAAGAAAGATGATTGATGACTAGAGGACAGTCAATAACTGTTTATTTTATTCACAGATCAAGTGGAAAGTGAGCAATAGGAAAAAAGGAGGAGTAATAACATTTTTTATATTAATATAGTTATATATTATATATTTAATAAATAGACAATATGTAAATGTATTTAGATTTACTGTTCCTCCTATTTCCTCTATATGGGTTAATTTTTCTCACTTGATCTGTGAACCAAATTGTGGAAAAACGTTTCTATCAATGTAAAGGAAAAAAAAAAAACACATACCATTTATACAGTTAATATATTTTACAGTAGAATGGCTTATTTTGGTGCCTTTTTGTTTTTGTTTTTTTCCAATTATTTTACTAAGCCTTTTTTTTCTGTTACCAAAATTCAGCTGCCACCAAATTTGGTTTTAGTTTTGGGGTGAAATGGTTTGGCCGAAATTTTATTTTTTGCCATGCACAAGTCTACTAGCTTATACTAACCCAAACCTCAACCCTACACTAACACTAACACCAACACTAATCTTACACCAACACTCACCATAATACAGAGGTCTGTCACCTGATGTCATTGATTACATTAGCAGAGGGATTTCCCCTGCTTACTCAGTACACAGTGTTCTTTCTATGTACTCAGTGATTGCAGCATGAGAGGGTGATTGCAGCATGAGAGGGTGAACTTCATGTTGTCCTTGACAACCATGGAGTAATTGGGTGATTATGTGGGAGGCATGGCATACTTTTTTCGATCACATTGATCTCCCTCTATTTGATGGATATTTCAGAACATGGGAAACACAGTTGTTCAGCCATGGTGATTTGAATGCCTCTGTGCAGCGCTCACTTTGTGTGCTGATCATAGCTCATCAGTCCATCCTTGCAAGTGTGCTGTCTTGGTGTCATACTTGATTCTGGCCTCACCTTTGAACCTCACATCCAGTATGTTGCCAAATCCTGTAGATTCAATCTTAAAAACATAGCTCGCATCCACCCCTTTCTTATGCAAGATGATACCAAGGAGCTTGTCCATGCTCTAGTAATTTCCTGCATGGATTATTGTAACCCTCTCCTTATTGGTCTTCCCAAAAGCCGTATTGCCCTGCTACAGTCTGTAATGAATTGTCACAGGTGGCGGTACGGAAACCGGGACCCCTGAGTGCCTGATGATAAGTGGGAGTCTTCAGCATGGAAGAGGATTATCCCGGCCTGGTGCAGGGTAACCACCCGCCCCCTGGTGTTAAGCACCAGCGTTTGAGTGGCCACATACCAGAACCCTGATGCAGCTGCTGTGGATCCCAAAAGCTAGGAACAGGAATTAAGCAGACCTCCCAGGAGCCGAATAGGGAGGCTCTGCAGCAAGAATGTATCCAGTACAGAAACAAGACAAGGCTAGGTTAATCACCAAACACGAAAACAAGACAGAACTAGGAGAACCCAGAACCAGAGAAGGATAGGAAGCTAAACCGAGAACATGTACACAATACATAAGGGAACATTAACTAAACAGGGGCAGGACAGGACTGTACATGGACTGGGATTACAAAATGAAACAAGACAAGATATAATAGGTAAAACAAGAGGAGACATAACTAAGCACTATATATGAAAAGTATGGGGATTTAGTTACATTATATGATCATACATTGCATAAGCCTGACACAACATCAATGTACGCCATATTCGTCCTACTCTGCCTAATGTTCACTAAAAGAACCATACTAAACCACAATAGCACTTACCTGCAAGAAAGGGCAGAAGCCTTGAGCAGCTGCCTGCAGGGACACTGAAACAAAAAGGAATGTTGGAAAACAAACGGGTGTGGCAAATAAAACAAACATTTAAATGAATCCAAGAGACTGGGAAATCCAGGGACGGAATATAAGAATGAACCCAGGATAAAGAAAACCAGACATTTAATAGAAAACCAATAAAAACTAAACAAGAATTGTAAAAAGAGTGCTGGATACCAGAAGCCAAGTCAGACATCAGAACAGAGCAGAGCAGATCCTGACATGAATGCTGCCGCCAGACTGATTTTCCTCTCACACGTCACATCTTATAGGAGTCAATTCAAAGTGCTAACTCCTGCCTATAAAGCACTGAACTATTTTAGCCCCTCTTATATCTGCTTCACTCCCACCTTATTTGATTGCTATTTCCTGTCCTAATGTGTTTTACACCCCACCTCCTATAGACTCTAAGCTTGTTTAAGCAGGGTCCCCTTCAACCTATTGTTCCTTGTAAGTTTGCTTGTAATTGTCCTATTTATAGTTAAATCCCCCTCTCATAATATTGTAAAGCGCTACGGAATCTGTTGGCGCTGTACAAATGGCAATAATAATAATAATAATAATCAGTCGGTATGGCCACAGTTGAAAGAGGGGAGTTCCAGTTGTTGAATGTAACTTGGAATGTCTCGATACCAGAAGGGATCATGTTGGTACTTTGAAATCATGGCATTCCATGCTGTCCTTGGCTGTTGAAGCCTTGAACTGGGTGACATATTGGAATATCATGCAATCCTTAAAGGGACACTGAATTTAAAATAAATAAATAACAATTTAATAGATATAACCCCAACCACCAATATAACCCCAAAAGAAGTATGCATGTGATTTATTTTGCATGTATTCTTGGGGTATAAGAAATATGATCTAGTATCAACAGCTACTTTTTTTACAACGCCTCCTTTTTTTCCCTCTAATCACTTCTCACTTGATCTGTGAACAAAATCAGCATTTAGTGACTGTCTTGTAACAATCAATGATCTTTATTCCAATTAATCATTTAAATTTTTTGGTACCATGGATGGAACTCCAAATCACAAATCAAATGATTTGTCTATGGCGTGAGTCGTTTAGTAAGGCCTGTATTCGGTATAAATTCAGACGAGCTAAATTTCGGCCGGAAAACAAATGCATATATCTACCATTTATATCTTCTTTTAATAACTATTAACTAAATATAGCTAACTAAATAAAGGAGTTTAATAAGATTATTGGAACAGATTGTCTGTCAAAAATGTATTTTGTTTTTAAAAGCAAAACCTGTACAACTTTTTAGAATGTAAGTTCCCATGGCAATAGAGCCCTCAACTTGTCCTGTATATCTTCCTCAAATTTTGAATTGTCTCTCGAATGTATTAATTGTACCCAAAGACGGTGCTACGGAATATGTTGGCGCTTTATGTATAATAATAAATACAATAAAATTCAACCAAAATAAAGAAACTCTAAAGTGTACATGACAAGTCGCCACTACAGCTTAAAATAAAATAATAACTTGTTTAATTAAATGCATTATTTATTGTAACATAGAATCCAGTACACACTTAGCTTTTATTGACATGTAATTAAAATTCAATTGACAGGAGCCCATTATAGTATGCCAGTAGTGATGTCCCGAACGGTTCGCCGAACGGTTCACCGCGGATGGCGAACATATGCGCTGTTCGGTCCGCCCCCTATGTCACCATTGAGTAAATTTTGACCCTGTACCTCACAGTCAGCAGACACATTCCAGCCAATCAGAAGCAGACCCTCCCTCCCAGAATGGTATTTAACCATTTCTTTGCTTACCTTAATCCAGCGCCAGGCTCCCTCAGCACTGGTGACCTCTCCTCCTCCTTCTCCTCCATCGACGTGGAGCCGAATGCGCATTCGAGGCTAGAGGCATATGCTCATTCAAACCCGCCCATAGGAAAGCATTACTCAATGCTTCACTATGGGGACCTTTTTTGACACTGGACTCCATGAGGAAGTCCAGCGTCAAATACGTGCAATTTACTCCGTGTAAATTGCGCAAGCGGCCTCTAGTGGCTGTCAGGAAGACAGCCACTAGAGGCTGGATTAAACCTGAAGTGTAAACATAGCAGTTTCTATGACACTGCTATGTTTTCAGCTGCAGGGTTAAAACTAGGGTGGCCTGGCACCCAGACCACTTCATTGAGCTGAAGTGGTCTGGGTGCCTATAGTGGTCCTTTAAGAAGATTAGTCTTGGTGCCTACATCTGAGGGCTTCCTCATGGCTTTGCATGTTGAGAACAGATGGTCCTTCAAATTCCACCCAAGTCGTTGAGCCCCCTTCTTCCCTGTGAATGGAGATGAGACTACATCATCTGCACTACCAGTTAATCCATCAATGACTTCTGTGTCCATAGAAAATAATAGAACACGCTCATGCTTGGCTATACATTACACCTTTGTGTGCCGTCTTTGCATGGCCCTTTCATAAAAAGTATATCAGTCACATGCTCAACTTACTGACTTATGCTCTGCTCAAACTTCCCTCAAAGGTGTTGTCAAAGACTCTTGTCAAAACTGTAGTTTTATTAAAAGTATATTTAATGTCCACACCTATATACAAGTTGAAAAAATAGAAGGAAAAAAAAAACACTCCCCACAAATCACAACCCAGGGTGTTCAAGCCAGACCTGAGACTGGTAAAATCTAAACATACAAGTAAAGCAATAAAGATGACCCACAAACTCAAGGTTGAATAACTGGTAAATTTAAAGGATCACAATAGGGTCAGGAACACAAACATGTATTCCTGACCCTATAGTGTTAAGCCCACCATCTAGCCCCCCTGGGCCCCTCATGCCTCCATAAATATAGTAAAAATCTTACTGTATTCAAGCCTAAAGCAGTAAATCTGCATGCTGTTAGACTCAGAAAAACAAGCAGTCTGCTGACATGTGGTAGCCTGATCCAATCACAGTGCTTCCCCATCAGGGGCAGAGCCAGCATGATTCAAACACAGCCCTGGCCAATCAGCATCTCCTCATAGAGCTGAATTGAATCAATGAATCTCTATGAGGAAAGTTCAGTGTCTGCGTGCAGAGGGAGGAGATACTGAATCACAGGATGCTGTGCACAGTGCTGCCCTGTGCTCTGCTGACAGCAGATCTGAGTGGATGGAGGCATATTATGCCTCCATCAACTCCAAAATCCCTCTGGTTCACTCTGAGTGACTGCAACTGGAGGTGTTCCTAGCTTTCAATGTAAACACTGTATTTTCTCAGAAAATACAGTGTTTACATGAGAAAGGCTGCAGGGAGCTATAGTTCTCACCTGAACAACTTCATTAAGCTGAAGTTGCTCAGGTGACTATAGTGTCCCTTGAAACTAAACTAGGAAAACAAAATCCTTCTTGATCCCAGAATGGCACAATCAGATCTTTCTTTGGATCAAGAAGCTATTACCTCACAAAATAAAAAGTATATCCCTAAATATTATGTTTTTGAAAGTAATAATCTTGTGCCTGTTTCTACATCTGTACAGACTCGGATAAAACCACAACTTCATGCAGAGAATTACACATCTTTCATGTTCTTACAGTAAAAACCCTTTCCTTTGCCTTAGACTAAATCTCTTTTCTTCCAATCTAAATGTACAAACTCTGATAAAATCAAATCTCCAGGCAGAGAATTACACATCTTTAGTGTTCTTACTGTAAAAACACCCTTTATTTTGCCTTAGACTAAATCTATTTTCTTCCAGTCTAAATGTGTTCTATGTATAGTCCTGAATATGAATAGATGTCCAGACAATGGTTTGTATTGACCACAAATATTTTTCTATAATTCTATTATATCTATTCTGAGGTGCATTTTTCTAAACTAATGAGATGTACATTTATTAACTTTTCTTCATAACTAAAATGTTCTTCCTTTTATTAATTCTTTAACCCAACTCTGCACTTTTCTAGTGCTATAATATCCATCTTTAGAACAAGTGCCCAAAATTTCACAGCATACTCAAGTATGCTATTAACAGTGAATTATAAAGAGGCAACATTATATTTCAATCCCCAGAATTAATATATTTTAATTAATAAGCAACTGCTGATTGAAATTTCACGTTGTTGCCTAGTTTGTTGTCTATAACAATATCCAAATCTTTCATGTGTGTTGTGATCCCTAATTCACTATCATTTAGAGTGAAAGTTGCTTGTGCATTCTTTGCCCCAAAGTGTTTAAGTTTGCATTTTTGTTGAATAAATTTAATCTGCCATTTGAGTGACCAGTTCCCCAATCTATCTAAAGCACTCTGCAGCAAAATATCCTGCTCACTTTACAGAGATTTGTGTCATCTGCAAAGACTGAAACATGACTTTCATTTACTATTTCAAGATAATTCATGACAACTCTCTACTCTATCTTTAAGCCCATGAACAAGAATTTTCATCTAGACCAATTTATTTTAGTTTAACCCCTTCACGACCGAGGACGGTTCAGGACCGTCATTGGCATTTTTGCCTTGCAGACCGATGACGGTCCTGAACCGTCCTAACGGTCTCCGTTACTTACCTGATCGCCGTCGTTCCCCCGGCGGCGATCAGCGTTGCTCCGGTTGTGGGGAGACTGCCTGCAGCCCAGACAGTCTCCCCACACTGAATTAGGACCCCTGGGACACACAGCGATCACATGGTCACAATAGGTATCCTAGTGTCTGCCTGCAGGGGGGCTGCCTGTGCTGACAGGCAGTCTCCCTGCTAGTGTAAAATCAGTAAAAAAAAAATAAAGTTAATGTTAATAAAAAAAAATAATTATATATGTGTATACATATATGATATATAGACATATATTATATCAATATAATATATGTCTATATATCATATATATATAATGCCATACTAAGTGTATTTTTATATTAATATGTACTTATATTAATATAAAAATACACTTATAATTAAATTACACACGTATATATATAATATATATAATAACTATATATATTGTGTATATATATATTATAAAATATAAATAATAAGTAATTTAAATTAAATAATTTTTTTTAAATAATAATAAAAATTTAAAACAAAAATTATATATCTATATGAAATTTTATTCTAACTGTATTTTAAAATTAATATATATATATTTATATCAAAATACACTTAGAATGAATTTGTATATATATCTATGTATATAAAAATAAATAAAAATAATAAGAAATATACATATGTCCATATACAAAATTACATAAATAATTATATAAATATACACGTAGACTTCAAATATATAAATATGCATATATATTTAAATTCTACGTGCGTATTTATGTAATATTTTTACATAATTCAGTAATTTTATTGATTGTAATTTGAGGGACCTGCCTGCCAACCCAGGCCGAAATTCCAGAGAATTTAATTTGCTAGCACTGTATTTTACCCTGTAACGTTCTACGACACCCTAAAACCTGTACATGGGGGGTACTGTTTTACTCGGGAGACTTCGCTGAACACAAATATTAGTGATTCAAAACAGTAAAACATATCACAGCGATGATATTGTCAGTGAAAGTGACTTTTTTTGCATTTTTTACACACAAACAGCACTTTTACTGATGATATAATTGTTGTGATAAGTTTTCCAGTTTTTGATATATCTAAAAAAGACTGGACATACCCCATATTGAATACCCTGGGTTGTCTACTTTAAAAAAAATATGTACATGTGGGGTGTTATTCAGAGATTTATGACAGATAATAGTGTTACAATGTCACTATTGATAAATTTTAAAAATGTATGTTTTGAAACCGCAATATCCTACTTGTACCTATAGCCCTATAACATGCAAAAAAAGCAAAAAAGCACCTAAACACAGGGTATTTTTAAACTCAGGACAAAATTTTGAATCTATTTAGCAGTTTTTTTCATTCGCTTTTGTAGATGAGTAAAAGATTTTTCAAGTAAAAGTCAAAAAACATGTTTTTTTTTCAATTTTTCATCATATTTTTTTATTTTTTTTAAATTAAAATACATGAGATTATATAAATAATGGTATGTAAAGAAAGCCCCTTTTGTCCTGAAAAAAACAATATATAATTTGTATGGAAACAGTAAATGAGAGAGCGGAAAATTCCAGCCAAACACAAACACCACAAAAGTGTAAAAATATGCCTGGTCGCAAATGTACAACATCGCAAAAACAGTCCAGTCCTTAAGGGGTTAAAACACTAATCTGTTGTGAGGAACCATGTCAAACACCTTGGCAAAATCCAAGTAGATCACATCCACTGCAACGCCCTGATTATACTTACACTTACTTCTTCGTAGAATGCAATTAAATTAGTTTGGCACGATGTATGTTTATACAGTGTTTATAGGCAACACCATTAACTTTAATTAATTAGAACAATTAGAACACAAACTTACTTAATCTTCTTAATTTACAAATGGTCAGCCATGGCATTTGAAGCACCAAGAGCCAGAACGTGCTCCAAAGCCCAATGATGTCAGATGTACGTAGGAACAATGACATCAACCGCACAAAAAACAACTGCTCAGGCTCCATAAAATGTAATAACGCAAGACATTTCTTTGTGCCATATGGCGTGAATAAGCTCTGTAAAAAAAGAAGGGTTTTATCAAGCCACGTATGAAACGTGAAACTCATGTATCACCTTTAACTCTGGAACCTTGGCTGATCAAATAGAAACAGCATTAGAGCAAAATAGCATAAAAAAAACCAAATGAATGTTTAAAAATCAATAAGCAAATAAACTGAGTTCATTCCATCCTTGATATTTTCACCTTTTCATAATATGTACACTAATTAAAGGGAAGGACCCAGTAAGGGTATATCTAAGCATGCAATACAGATCATCACATATTCTGACAAAATGTACAATCGGTTATAACATGATTTTATCCCAATACAAAGTCTCTTTAACAGGCTAAAAATTTTCTTGTTAAAATCTATTTATTGTCCAAAAACTCATGCTTAAGTAGCCTGTAGTAAAACTTATACAATATCGTAAAATAAAGAAAAATACTAATGCACGCAAATCCAGGTGTAGAAGTGAATCAGCACCTTTTAGTGAATAAAAGTATCTGTAAAGAGAAAAAAAAATAGAATTGTGGTGCATACTAAACGTATATTTAATATCCACACCTATATATTGTCATAGTTAGGAATTTCACAATGATGGGGCAGATTCTAGCACCAGGCTTTGATACTGAGAATTTGTCCAACAGGTTAATAAATAAAAGCAAAAATAATCAACTCAACACAGCTAAACTTCATAATGGGCGAGAAAACACATTGTTAAGACATTAAACGTCACTCTTCACCCTTTCTCACCCCAACCCCCATCTCTGAATATTATTTGTAATGGGGGGGCTCTACAAAGACCTGTAAAACATAAAAAGTATTCCAGTATTAATTAGGGTCTCCAATCCTCCTGTAAGACGAAGACCAACTCTTTTTTCCAAGGAATTAAAAATCCTGCTGAAACAGAAATCCTGGTGGTTAACTAGTATAACCCCCTGCTTATTAAATATTACGATTTCATTAACTATCTGATTGAAGGCAAAAAAAGTGCAAATAGCTTTTTAAGGTTAACATGAACCCCTACACCAGGGGTCCTCAAACTCCGGCCCCCCAGATGTTGCTGAACTAGAACTCCCCTGATTCTTTGAATTACATAGATAGCCAGAGAATCATGGGAGGTGTAGTTCAGCAACATCTGGGGGCCGGAGTTAGAGGACCCCTGCCCTACACCATCCCAAGGCTCCCTCATTCTTAGAGAATATACAAACCCTATCCCATAGCATAAAAATATATATTTCAGATGCTTTATCTGTTAATCAGCCTCACAATGCAAGTTGTCAGAAGTCAAACGTCATAAGAATACATCCATCTGATGGTGCCATAATTTAAATAATCTGCACATAGATTCTCCAGAACTAAAACTATAATTCAAAAAGACTCTACCTATTTCACTTTGTATCTGACTCAATATTTGCAGTCAATTATTTTTTCCTTGGTTAGTCATACCAGTTAGATAGGATACCACAATTACCTGACTCGGAAACTTATACTCATTCACACATGCATAATAAATGTCATGGACCTTGTCATCACCTGTCCGCAACCATTTCTGAACATGTTTTTTAATGTATTAAAAAAAAAAAAAAAAACATAAAAAGTGGATAAACATTTAATTCTAGGATATTCTGTTAAGGATTCCAACTTATCATCATATGGGAACTATAAAACTATTTCTATACGTCTTTCGTATATTGCATAACATTACAATTTATATGAAACCTTTCAAGATAGGGGTTCGGCAAAGTCTATCATACAATCTTGGTTCTTGCACGTCATATGCCATTTAATACAAAATAAAATGCCATACTTTGTTGTCTTTTGTGATATTGCATTACTGCATTGTACAGATGTGTGTTTTCTTTACACAATGGAACAGGCTCAATGTTAAAATCTTGGCATGTTAGGTTTTGATAACATCTTATCTGACACACCGATTTTTATGCTGTGTGAAATATTGTCCTTATTTTATACTTTTAGATAAGATTTGCTAATTATTTATTATGTTTGGTATCAAAATATTCAAACATTTCCAATATATTAATCCATTTTAAATGTTTATCCAAATATATTAAATAATTTGAAAAGCTTATCCAGAAATCTTAAATAGGTAGAGTCTTTTTGAATTATAGTTTTAGTTCTGGAGAATCTATGTGCAGATTATTTAAATTATGGCACCATCAGATGGATGTATTCTTATGACGTTTGACTTCTGACAACTTGCATTGTGAGGCTGATTAACAGATAAAGCATCTGAAATATATCTTTTTATGCTATGGGATAGGGTTTGTATATTCTCTAAGAATGAGGGAGCCTTGGGATGGTGTAGGCAGGGGTCCTCAAACTCCGGCCCCCAGATGTTGCTGAACTACACCTCCCATGATTCTCTGGCTATCTATGTAATTAAAAGAATCAGGGGAGTTGTAGTTCAGCAACATCTGGGCCATTATAACATAAATTAAACCATATAATCTGTAAAACATTTTATCTCCGCTCTATTACTGTGAAGGCTGAAGAAATATTTTTTAAAAATTAGTTTTAATGAAAGTAACACAATCTGTATACAATTAGTGCTGTGCCCCATATTTATGTGCTAACAAGGCATTTCATTTCCAAATAAACGTTATCCTTAAATATAAGGGGAAAGAGCATGGCAGTGAAGGGGTTAAACATAACATTAAATATATTTTAGATTTCTTTTTTTTGTTAAGCTGTGTGCATTTCAAGTTTAAAATAATCCTCTATAAGAACCAGAGTGTATTATACTTTAATTATCTCAGCAAAAAAAAGGTTTTCAAGAGAGTTAAACCTTAAAACATTTTCATAAATGAATGGCATTGAAGCTTTGGTAATAGTTACACTCTATTGCTATGGCTACTGTAGAAGTCATGTAAAACAATTAAGATTTTTTTTTTTAAACTTTCCGTCCTAATCCGCCATGGATTGTGGTCACATGGTGGAAATGCCAGGGTTATTTGGCCTTTTGGCAGACTTCTCAGACATTTGTATCGAATACTTTGAACTTACTTTTGGGTCTATCATGTGAATAAGATATTTATAATTATGCAGAATACTATGTCTTCCCAAATTACATCTTCTTTTAAATCATTTCTGAAGCAGAAGATATGAGATTTGGTTTTACGTCAGCAGAAAGATTACATTAAACGTGTTAGAAAATTATTATCGAGATAGGCAATTAAAAAAAAAAAACTTAGTTTCTAAATAGTGAAGGGGGAAGTCATGTGATCAGAACAATTTTATGTCATTTAAAAAGAAGATTTTTTCCTAAAAAGCTAAAATGTGCCAAGTGAAAGGATTTGTAGTAGAACCTTATATCACCCTCCAACTATATGTGCCCATGCTTACCTTAACATTGTGGGTGTTCCAGTTGGCTTCTTTTCAAGCATTTGTATCTTTTTCTGGGTGGCCAACTGTCAGGTGATACGTTGTGTCCACTACAGATTAGAGAAATCTTCTAAGCCTTTTCTGAAAGTTATACTGACACTCATTAGTATGTAACACTTCCTGCCCAACAGCTACAGCCAGCAATGGATGTGCAGCTATTTAGCAGCCAATATGATCTGAGGATTTTTGATCTGCCAACCATCAACAGGAGCTCTAGACAAGTTTATATTTGTATATACACTATATGGACAAAAGTATTGGGGAAACCAACCATTACAACAATAAGATAAAACAAGGACCTGATTTAGAAAAATACAGATCTTAAAAGATCAATCATCAAATGTTGTACAATTGTACACCAAAGGGACTGACCATTACACCAACAGGGACTTTTATGACAGCGCATTCTAAAAACATAGACATTAAAATATAGTTGAAGAGGGAAAGCTCTAACAGCTTCCACTCTTCTGACAAGGCTTTCCTCAAGATTTTGGAGTGTTTCTTTAGAAATTTTGACCCATTCATCCACTAGAGCATTTGTAAGATCAGGCAATGATTTTGGACAAGAAGGCCTGCCCGGTTTAAATGCAGCTACATGGCCATGGAAACCAATTCCACAAAGTTCCTGAAACAGAGTTTTTGTGCAGATATAAATGCCAGTGAAAGTTTGGAACTCTTCAGCTATGGAATCAGTAGAGTGTTGACAACTTTGACACACCATGCGCCTCGGCACTCAGTGACCCCACTCTGTAACTTTACGTGGTCTTCCACTTTGTGGCTGAGTTGCTGTTGTTCCTAAATGTTTTCACTTTCCAATAATACCACTTACAGTTGACAGTGGAATATCTAGCAAGATAAGGGGGCCCGTTGGGTGGCCCTTGCTCTAAGGGCCACCTGATGCACATATGTCAGCCTATTACTTCCTCCCAAAGACACAGAAACCGCGCTGGAGGGTGGAGGAGAAGGGAAAGAGGAGGGGAGCTGGACTGGAAAGCCAACCCCAAACTAGCAACAACCTCAGCCTGCTACTGGACCCCAGGGAACCCATCCTCCTGTAAAAGGTAGGAAACTGGAGGGTGGATATGAAAGTGTAAATTTGGATCAGCATGTGACTGTTTGTGTATATGTGTGTGTGTGTGTGTGTATATATATATGTCGTCAGTGTGTGTCTGTGTATCTGAATGTCTGTCAGTGTGTGTCTGTGTATTTGCATGTGTTTTAATGTGTGTGTGTGTCTGTGCATCTGTGTGTGTGGCAGTATATATGTATATGTGCATACATTTCAGCTTTTAAATGCCAACACTACACACAAACACATCCCTGCATTCAATCATCAGCACTACATACAAACACACGTATTAAAGACCAAAATTATATATAAACACATTGCTGCATTCATACACTACATTTACACAAACATACTCCATGAAAAAGATGATTACACACAAACACTGCTCGGTACAATACAACCCTAAATACAACCCTGCAAGCATGGGAAATGGTAGAACCCCAGCTGTAAAAGTATTGTGGGAGTTGTATGACAGATGGGAATCTCACTTTGGGCCATCCTTGCGATAGGGGGACCTAAAACAATTCTTGCACCTGGATCCTCTCTATGCTAGTGCGCACCTTCAGATTGTGAGGTCTCTGCTTTGTCTGGGAGCCTTGATCCAACTCCTTTTTGTCTTTGGGTGTTTCGCTCCTTACCAAGTTGTTACTTGCATGCACATTTAACCCCTTAAGGACCAAACTTCTGGAATAAAAGGGAATCATGACATGTCACACATGTCATGTGTGTCCTTAAGGGGTTAAATGGAAGTGGCTCACTTTTTGCGTTCCACTTTTGGATGACGTGCTTGTTCCATCTGTTTTCTCTGTCTTTTTTGGTTCCATCACCTTATTGCCGTCCTCCAATTCTTTGCCCTAATTGGAATAATGGTATTAATAACCATTATCAATAATTTCTTTTAGATGCAATATATATATATATATATATAGCTTCATGTGGTGATAGCTTGACAAAGACCTTTGCCAAGGTCAAAACGTTGCTCATTGCATTATGATCCCATAAGACTGCTTTTCCTGTGAACCCAGTAAGTGACTGAAGCTTCTTTTTGGAAATATCTGATATAAAGGAATTTCTGGTCCTGCTTCAGCTAAGCACCCTGTGGCTATTTGAAACTGAGTGTTGTCCTTCATTCTTTCGTAGCAACACTATGCACATCACTGATCAACCAGAAAGGGAGAATTTTATTCATACTGGATTGACAGGCAGCCCTGCAAGACAGCCATCCAGTGCTACTCCTGTGAAAATTAGTGCTGAAACACTGTAGCTTGGGCAGTAACACTCTGCAGTGGCCTTTCACAGCTTGAGAATATGTAATCATACAACTGTACTCTGTATTTTAGGTGTCTTTTCTTGTGTTCTCTAAAACATGAGTTCTCAAACTCCGGCCCCCCAGATGTTGCTGAACTACAACTCCAGTGATTCTTTGAATTACATATATAGCCAGAGAATCATGGGAGTTGTAGTTCAGCAACATCTGGGGGGCCAGAGTTTGAGGACCCATACTCTAAAATATTGTTAAGCTATATAAAATAATACCAATAACATCTCCTTTTTCTCACGCAAGAAATGTCACTGTTTATTTGATAATGTAAAAATTACAAAGTAACTTGATGATGACGATATTAGTATTTAATTGGTTAGCCATGGCAAATTTTTTTCATGACTTTGATTATCATGGAGTCTTGTGGAAACCAGATTAATTGCTTGGGCAATTAAATGTGAAATTTGTTAATAAAAGAATCACTTGTTTTATATGTAGAGTATTTCTTTATTTCTGTAGGATGAATGTCATGCAAGTTCATGAGAAATGTAGCAGCCATTCACAACTGCAATTTGTGGATAGTCCATATCATGCTTAATATGACATTTGGGGCTAATTCATGTTCATGTCCTTGCTTCAGATCATCCTGGCAAACCTTTTTCTATTCTGACAAGTTTTAAATAAATATTACAAATATATTATAGATTTCTAAATTGCAGGATCCTTATAGGGTTATTCACTAAAGTGAGAATTCAAAATTAATTTCAAATTTAAATAGCTGACCTGGAAAAATTTTCTAATTCAGCTATGCTTCCAGTTCAGTTCGGCTGCTTTGATCTTAAAGCAGCACTATCACCGCCTGGGGATTTGCAAAGACCCCCGATAGTGACATCGCCGCTGCGGGTCCGGTGGCCGGGAAGGTCTATGGAAGATCTCACAAGATCGTGACATCCTCCATAGACAAATCCAATCTGTGAGGATCAAAACTTAGACTCCATTGTGAGTTAGGCAGCGGTGCAAAACAGAGACGAACTAGTCCCTTCTTTGTCTCGTTATGTCCCTTGATTTAGTTGGGAGTTGAGTATTTCGTAGAGATTCTATCTTTATAAAATACTCATTTTTCAGGGGAGTGACAGTGCTACTTTAAGTTTAATCTGCATATGAGATGAGCAAAATTATATGACATGAAACATTTTGGTTCATCTATTTGAATACTGTCATTTATCAGTCTTATTACTGCAGTCTATAGATGGGTGGTTTCAGTGCTTAGATGCCCTTTATATCAGTCTCCTTGCCATTCTCTTCCTCTATGCCCCTTTCCTATAAATTATCCTCTATATTCCCTTTATGAGCGTGCTTTGTACTGCATTATAAAACAATGTACTCAAGAGCATTATTCCACACAGGCAATGGGATCTATATCACACTGGTGTGACCAACAACCTGACTCCCTTCCTCCCCCCCTATTCTATTTCCCCAACAAAAGCAGTTGTTGGTAAAATAATTCACACCAAGTTATGGGAATTTGAGATATCCAGTGGGTAGTCACCATGCAGGACAGCAATATGACCTCGCAAATGGGCAGGTTTCCAAGGTGTTGACACTGTATAAGCAGCTTTGTTATGTCTCTCTAACAATATGGAATACATTTTGGATAAACAAAATAAAAATTTGGCATCTTTTGTGATTGTTTTATTTGAAGTTAATGCATTATTCTGTTTATTTTTATAGATATACAAGCACCATGGACCTTTAGAACCTGCAGCAAATTGTGTCCTCTAAACAAAACATAACATTTAATCCTTACTCACCTTGATTGTTCTGCAACGAAAGTGACAGTGGCTCTCGAAACCAATACAGAAGACTGTATACCCATATTCAAACCTTTGTTAAAACTGTCTCATTGCTTCAGATGCCTAAAAATAGCAAGGTAGTTAAGAGAGAGCTGGATGATGATGTTGTGGAATCTGTTAAGGACCTCCTTTCCAATGAGGATTCCTGTGATGACAGCTTCAAAAAGAGTGAGTTGATGGTCAACGATGACATAGATAAGGATAGAGATCTTGAAGATGGATCTGACATTGAGGATGAAAGACCTGCTTGGAACAGCAAACTTCAGTATATTCTTGCCCAAGTTGGATTTTCTGTTGGTTTGGGAAATGTATGGAGATTCCCATACTTATGCCAGAAAAATGGTGGAGGTAAGAAATATGATTGTATTAATAAATTATTATTGTTACAATTCTCAAGTTGTGTAATTTAAATATAAATATCACAAATTCAAAGTAATCAAACTATAGATGACAGATTCTCAAGTGTAAATATTCAGACACTTGTTTTAAAATGGCTAGCTCAAAAATTTACATAGTGTGAGTTCATCACTTAGAGTAGCATATCCTTTAAAATGAATAAAACTTGGAAGGCAAAAGAAAACTAGCTTGTGGTTTGACTTTAGCACGTGATATGCTATTTCAGCATCTGTTTTTCAAGTGAGGCCATTTCAATTAATCATACGAGAAAAAAACAAGACTTGAGAGTTCTTTTATATATCCTCCCAATGCTGCAGGGAGGATATATAAAAAAATCAGGGCCCAAAGTAAGAAAATGGTCCACTAGACTCTTCCACTAGACTTGTGTATGTAAACAGTTTGGTTTGTCTGAATCGATTCGTCCAGGAAAAAATAATTTGTTTCAGGCGAATCGGGTTTCATCTATGTGGCATTTTGGTTTAAACAAACTTAGTCTATGTGATTGTTTCAGATTGTTTCAGAGAAATCAAAAGGGTGCAGAAACATTCCTATTAGTGTATTGCAAAATATATACATAACACCGAGCAGCCACAACATTAAAACCATTTGCCTAATATCATGTAGGTCTTTTTTGTGCTGCCCACAGTTTGATGCATGGACTCCACAAGACCTGAACGTGTCCTGTGGTATCTGGCCCCAAGACATTGGCAGCAGATACTGTAAGTCCTATAAGTTGCAAGGAGGGGCCTTCATTGATCGGATTTGTTTATCATGCACATCCCACAGATTGGATTGAGATTTTGGAAATTTGCAGAACAAGGCAACAACTTGGTTCCTTAAACCATTCCTGAACAATTTTTGCAGTGTGGCAGGGTACATTATCCTGCTGAAAGAGGGCATTGCCATCAGGAAATACCATTGCCATGAAGGGGTGTACATAGTCCACAAAAATCTCTAAGTAGGTGGAACATGTCAACCTAACATCCACATGAATGCCAGAACCAAATCTTTCCCAGCAGAACATTGCTCAGAGCACAAGACTGCCTCTGCCGGCCTGCCTTCTTCCAATAGTGCATCCTGCTGCAGTCTCTATCCCAGGTAAACAAAACACACCTGGCCATCCACCTGAACTAAAAGAAAATATGATTCATTAGACCAGGCAACCTTCTTCCATTGATCTATGGTCTTGTTCTGATGCTCACATCCACATTGGAGGCACATTTGGCGGTGGACAGGAATCATCCTGTGATGAACACTGTGTGTTCTGACATCTTTTTATCATGGATAGCATTAAGTTTTTAGCAATTTGAGCTACATTAGCTCTTCTGTGTGAACAGACCAGATGGACTAGCCATCGATTTCCACATGCATCAATGAGCCTTGGGTTCCCATGACCCCGATGCTGGTTCACTGGTTGTGCTTCCTTGAACCACCTTTGGTAGATATTAACCACTGCATACTGGGAACACCCCACAAGACTTGCAATTTTGTTGATTTTCCGAACCGGTTATCTAGCCATCACTATTTGGCCCTTGTCAAAGTCACTCAGATCTTTTCACTTCCCCATTTTTCCTGGTAACATATAAAAATCAAGACCTGGCTGTTCACTTGCTGCCTAATATATCCCACCCCTTCACAGGTGCCATTATAACAATATGATCAATTTTATTCACTTCACCTGTCAGTGGTTTTAATGTTGTTGATGATCAGTGTAAATATTATCTATATGTATTGCACTTCACTGATGTTGTGGTGTATTTTCATTCCATCTGGTTCACAGATCAAGTGAAAAGAAATAATCAACAGATGGAAAAAAGGAGGAAAGTAAAAAAATAAATAAATCTCCTGTTTGTTTCTGTATTGGTCACTTCTCACTTGATCTGTGTATAAAATTAACATTTAGCGGCTATCCCTAACCACTATTCTTTTTCCATCAATCACTTTTGTTTGGAACCACGAATGGAACTCCGAATCAGAAAACAAATAAACAGTTTGTTTATTCCTCTTTAGTTAGTTTTGTGGTTCAGTCCCATGAAGATTTGAAGTCACGTAATTCCGACAAATCACTGACCACCCAATTTAAATGAATATCAATTTGATGAATGCACAAGTCTATCCTCAAGCATGTGTTTCAACCCAAACACCTGTGGTGGCTACAGGTACCAAAGACTTCAGCCAGCTACCTACCTAAGAAGGGAAGGTGGTATAACAATATAAAAAGCAAACTGTAAAAAATGATATTTCATATGTATCTGCTAACATCTTACTTGAACATATTCTGTTTAATTTATTTTTTTATTCAGCTAATACCCTCAAAAAAACAACAGTAAAAAAAACGTTATACCCTTCTCAAGACTATTAATAATACGTTATAGCCTACTCAAGACCATTCAAAATAAAAACTAATATTTGAGATAAACCCATGAGAGAAATGCACTGCGAAAATAATCTAGACTCTTCAGACTGTTGGCTGAAGAACTCAATAATGAATGAAAATATATATTGCCAGCGTGAAACCCTTTCAGTGCAGTATAATTGGTTGGTTTTCAAACCAAACATATCCTACTTACAAGTCTTACTTTCACATTGTTCGCCTGGAAATGAGCATAATGTGTGTGTCTCATTGTCTCTCTCTTTCCACATGCTTTGGAGTCTCACATTAATTTTTTTTTTTCTTTTTGCTTGTGTTATTTTCGATTTTACCTCCGCAGGAGAGCAGCTAATTTGCTGCGGCAATAGAAGGCTTCATTTTTCCAATGATATGCATTCCCAATCAGGTTTATATTGGATGGTTTTGTAATGTCTATCTAGACTATTCACTAAACTCAGAACAGTAGCAAATCAGTTTAAGAATAAGATAAAATAGATGATTAAGAATTTTTCTTCAATTTAGCTATAGTCACATTTTGGCTATTTTAGCATTAGTTTTACCATTTGGATTTGGAGTTACGCGAATAAACACGTCTGTTTACAAATGTAGCACAAATGTTTCGCTACCACAACTGTAGAAGTGGGTGTTTTTGAAGAAATGCAAGAATTGCTGTAAAGAAACCATTGTGAAGAATGGAGAATAAGAATAAGATAATAAAACTGGATTTGTTTTTACATTTTAGAAATGTAAGATGTTCTTATGGACCAATGAATGAAACTTATTGGCAAGCACAACCACCAACAATTATTTAAAGAAACACTCTCACCCTACTTATTTAGGTACCCCTCATACAAACAATGTCAAATAAAGTACAATATTTTTACTCACCTATGCCACATCTTATGCCACACTGGTCTTAATGTGGCACAACTCCATCCCTGGCTGTGATCATCATCACTGATGATTTTAACCAATCCAATATTTCCCCATGAGAATGCACAGCATTAACAGTTTTGCACCAATCAGAATCTCTTCATTGATATGCATTAGCTCAATGCACCTCTATGGGGAGTGTTCCGTATCTTCATGCAGTGTGTGAAGACACTGATAATCAGTCCTATCTGAGTGACAGCTACTAGATGTGACCTTAAAATGCAACATACACACTGCCTTTTTTAGAAAAAGTTTTTTTTTTTTTATTGCTAAGACTGCAGGGATAGTCTCTTTGCCCTGGAATCACTACATTAAGCTTTTACTGTTTCTGGTTCTTAAAAATATTCATTCAAACAAAACAATTAAATGTATCTCAGCACACCAATGATGCCCTTCAAGTTCTGTATTTTTTTGGATGGATAGCATGTTTCACTTAAAAATAAGTTTTTATTAAAAATGAAGTTGTCTGGGTTCCCATAGCGTCCCTTTAAATGGGCGAGACATTTAACCCCTTAAGTTAAAGTGATACTATAGGAACCCAGACAACTTCATGTTATTGAAGTGGTGTGGGTGCAGTGTCCCTGTCCCCTTAACCATGCAATGTTAAAACTGCAATGTTCAAAGAAACGGCAATGCTTACATATCAAGGTTAAGACTGCCTCTAGTGGCTGTCTCCTTCATTCACATGCACTTTAACTCAGTGAAATGATGCTTTGCATGAGGACACCCAGCATTTTGGAAATCTCCATAGGAAAGCATGGGGAAGAACTAATGTGCATGCGATACTCCCATTGCCATAATGTCGGAAGAGGTCGCAATCTCTCACTTAAGAGAAAAATAGCTTTTAACCCTTTATTTGCCAGGGGGTTGGGGGGTAGGGAAGGGAACACAGAAACACTATAGCTTATAAATATAGTTTTGTATTCCTAACACTATAGTGTTCCTTTAATTATCGATTAATGGGGCATTTAAACAGATTGATATATTCTAACTGTACATCTACTTTATTACAAGATGCAAAATAATTGCATTCCAAATCTGGAGATATGAAAATCTCTGGTGCCCAATAGTTTAGTGCATCCTGATGCTGCAGGGACTCTTATGATAAAAGAAAAGATTTGTGATTACTTCTCCTAAGCAATTACTATGCTGTAAGTCAGGCAGAAATAAGTATATACAATTAAAAAAAAAGTAAAATAAAAAAAAAAAAGATACAGACCAACATTTTTTATTTTGACTGAGAAATTAAATTGTGCCAGAGGCTTATTGAGCAGTTCAGTTTGTTCTCTAGTTGGTATGCACTGCTGTCTATGAGATGACTAGCCAGATGAGAAATTACAGCATTATTAATTATCTATACAGTCATTTGCATTAGTCACGAGGCAACAAATAGATCTTAATATATTTAGCTTTTAGAACTGCGATTCATCTCGGACTGTTTTCTGTAGCTTTGCATGTTGGCAACGACGCCGCAACAGACATGAATTTTGTGGCAAGTAGCAAATGATCACTTTAATAAACATAGTCTAAAAGTAAGTAGAATATAATTAAAAAAAAACACCAGAGTTGGAGATTCATTTTGGTCTGAAATGCAATTTGTCCGAATTTGGGCCGATTGGGTTGGGTGATCGGTCGATTCCTGAACTCCGAGATGAAATGTACCTGGTCACAGATTAAAATAGTCATGCAATGTCAGATGTGTTCATTTTTATTTGTGGCTCTGAATTCTGTAGGTGATGGCAAAAAAAATTAAAAATCATTGATGTGAAAAAAAGATGATTGATGGCTAAGGGAAAGTCACTAATTGAAGTGAACAATAAAATATATTTGTTCCCGTAAAATAACGAACCATTAATATATTACAATTTTTAACTTAGTTGTAAGATTCAAATAGTCCGAGTATTTCACAACAAAGAGCAGAAGAATACTGAGAAAGGAAAAGTCAATAAATTTGCGCTATTGTGGGTCCACTTTCAATCTAGGTTTAACTCAACTTAACCCTGAGCAGGAACCCAGCTTTGTGAGTCCCCTCTATCATTATCCATTGTACTGTGTCCACTTGTTTATCTTTGTGTGGACTCTTGATTGGATATGGATATGTTGTGCTTCTTAATGCAAACTGATTGCTCTCAGTATTGGGCTGCAGCAGGTAACCTAATCTACAGTAGCCCCTTGTCTGATATCAAGACAAATGGAAATTGCTTTGTGTGCCCAGCACTTTCTGCAGACAACCACCATCTTGGTACTTATGGGGCCTCCAGAGGAGTGGATTCATGTCAACAGAGGCACTTGCCCTGTCGAATGATATAAAACCTTGGTTTTACTTTACTTGCCAGCAGTGCTAGAATAACTATATTTCAAGATTATTAGGGTTAGAATCTGCTAACCTTTGATCAACAGATGCCTGGGCATTGACAGAAAATATACTTTGATTTGTCAGATTGTGGCACATACATATGGTTTGGTTATATTAACCTGCATACACACTGTGCTATGATCTATCCGTGGTCTCCTATACTTACTTTGGTGGCAATCCGGCGCACCTCCGCTTCAGTGTCTCTTGGCACGTGGCTGCTGTGTGCACGCGAGCCGGCGTCATGACGTTAGTGGCGCTCTATACACTGGAGTCCAAAGCACACTCACATTTTGGGGGCGTGGTTACACTAAACACACCTCCAAATGTATAAAAACTGACTCAGCCCAAGGCACAGTGCCCTGTTGTGGTTCCTAGGTTTCTAGTGTCTCACAAGTACGTACCGTTGTTTGTGGAATTTTGGTATTGACCCGGCTTTGTTCTAAATACTCTGCTTTTCTGGTTCCCTTGACATTGCTCTGGCTCTTGTTCTTGTGATTTCTGACTCCCCTTCACCTTGGCTTGCTCTGACATTCTTGTTTTCCTTTTATTTATTTTTTTCAATCCGGCCACTATAAGGACCAGCCTGGGGACCTTTCTCTGTCTCTATTTCTCTGGAGGATTTACATTCTGCGTGTTGGATTTAACGCTACAATCTAATACTGCCAAGTTAAAAAAAATAAAAAAAATCAGTGAACAAATATTTATTGGCTACTTTTAAGTGAAAATTATTTTGTGACCTATGTATACTTCTGACATAAAATAACTATTATTAATTAGGATGGAGAAAGTGCACATGCCACAAAGCATGATATAACTTTATGACTTATTTTCGATGTAAACATTATACTTAGGCTAAGTAACTTTCAAGATATAGTTATTGGTGAACTGGATTGACTGCATGGTATATTCCAAGTAAACGTTCAAACAAAGAATTAGCAACCAGTGACACATACAGTTGCATTTTTCAAGATAGCATCATAGAGAAGGAGAACTACTATTAGTCATACTGGGGGAAGTGCTTCTGTAGGAATCAATATAAACACACAGCAACGTAGACCTGTTTTCGGATAGTTTCCAAGAAGGGCCACAAACAGCAAAGGGAATTTAAACATGACTGATTTCACTGTGATTTATCAGTTACATAGTTACATTGCTGAAAAGAGACTTGCGACCATCAAGTTCAGCCTTCCTCACATATGTTTTTGCTGTTGATCCAAAAGAAGGCAAAAAACCTAGTCTAAAGCGCTTCCAATTTTGCAACAAACTATGAAAAAAATTCCTTCTTGACCCCAAAATAGCAGTCAGATGTCTCCTTAGATCAAGCAGCTATTCCCCCACTAATTAGAAATTATATCCCTGTATGTTATATTTTTGTAAGTATTTATCCAATTGCAGTTTAAACATTTGTATGGACTCTGATAAAACCACCTCTTCAGGCAGAGAATTCCATATCCTTATTGCTCTTACTGTAAAAAAAAAAACAACCTTTTCTTTGCCTTAGATGAAATCTCCTTTCTTCCAGCCTAAATGCGTGACCTCGTGTCCTGTGAATAGCCCTGTTTATGAATAGATTTTCAGATAATGGTTTGTACTGGCCCCGAATATATTTGTATATTGTTATCATATCCCCTCTGAGGCGCCATTTTCCAAACTAAAGAAATGTAAATATTTTTAACCTTTCTTCGTAACTAAAATGCTCCATTCCTTTTATCAATTTTCTAGCTCGTCTCTGTACTTTTTCTAGTGCCATGATATCCTTCTTTAGAACAGGTGCCCAAAATTGCACAGCATATTCAAGGTGTGATTTTACCAGCGATTTATAAAGAGGCAAAATTATATTTTCATCCCGATAATTTATGCCCCTATTTATACATGACAAAACCTTACTGGCCTTAGCAACTGCAGATTGACATATTGTTGCCTAATTTGTTGTCTATAACAATTCCCAAATCCTTCTCGTGTGTGGTTATCCCTAGTTCACTACTATTTAGGGTGTAAATTGCTTGTGCATTCTTAACCCTGAAGTGCATAACTTTGCATTTCTCTACGTTAAAGTTCATCTGCCATTTTAGTGCCCAGTCCCCCCAATCTATCCAAATCCCTCTGCAGCAGAGCAATATCCTGCTCACATTTTATTACTTTACAAAGTTTTGTGTCATCTGCAAAAACTGAAACATGGCTTTCAATGCCTATTTCAAGATCATTTATAAATATGTTAAATAGAAGTGGTCCCAAAACAGAACCCTGAGGAACACCACTTACCACTTTTGTCCAGTCTGAAAATGTACCATTAATGACAACTCGTTGTACTCTATCCTTAAGCTAATGTTCTACCCAAGAACACAAATAATCATCTAGACCTATTTATTTTAGTTTGAAGACTAACCTATTGTGAGGAACCATATCAAATGCCTTGGCAAAATCCAAGTAGATCACATCCACTGCAACACTCTGATCTATACTTCTTCGTAGAATTCAATTAGGTTAGTTTGACATGTTTCATAAAATCATGCTGTTTATTGCTAATAACAAAGTTCTTCCCAATGAATTCCTGAATATTATCTCTTAACCCCTTAATGACACATGACGGAAATATTCCGTCATGATTCCCTTTTATTCCAGAAGTTGTGTCCTTAAGGGGTTAATATCCCTTAATAGCCCATCAAATATTTTCCCAGTCACAGAAGTTAAGCTCACAGCTCTTTAATTTCCGGGCAAGGATTTTGAACCCTTTTTAAATATAGGAACGACATCTGCCTTCCTCCAATTCTCCGGTACAATACCTGAAACAAAAGAGTCTTGAAAATGTAAATACAGAGGTTCACTTATTTCCCCACTTAGCTCCTTAAGTACTCGTGGGTGAATACTGTCAGGCCCCGGAGCTTTATTTACATTAATTTTCTTTAACAGCTGTAGCACCTTGTCTCGAGTCATCCAATCACAAGTTATCTGCAAGTTTTTTGCAGCAAACATTTGCATATCTCTTGCCATAGGATCCTCATTAATATATACTGAAGAAAAATAGTTATTTACAATTTCTGTCTTTTCCTGGTTTTCATTAGCTAACAGACCCATCTCTGTTTCCAGTGTCCCTACACTTTCATTTTTTTTATTTTTTTTTTAGAATTGATGTACTTGAAAAACATTTTTGGGGTTGGTTTTGCATTCTTTGGCTATCAATTTCTCATTTTCTAGTTTAGCCACTTTAATTGCCTTTTTGCAAGCATTATTGGCTTCCTTATATCTTATATAGGATGCCTCTGATTTGTCTGATTTAAATGCTTTAAATGCCCTTTTCTTATTTTTAATCTCTTGTTTTACTTCTCTACTAAGCCTCATTGGTTTCAATTTGTTTCTTTTATATTTATTATCCAATGGTACATTCTAAGAAATGTACCTTTCTAATATTTGTTTGAATAGTTTCCATTTATCCTCAGTGTTTTTTTCACCAAGGAGTTTATACCCTTTCCCTATCTTTATCTGATAGTTTTCTATTGCAGGTCTTGACAGTATTTCTTCAACTTAACATACAATAGAGCACAGGCAGGAACAATGATAGTGTATGCAATAACCAATTACAATATAACAATTCAAAATGTAATTATTGAATAAAGAATTGTATATTTTTTAAACACTTTTTCTGAAAAGGTTCTGAACACATCTTCAGTCTCCAGTAATTTTCTTTTCTAGGTGCCTATTTAGTGCCATATCTAATACTACTCCTGGTGATTGGGATTCCACTCTTCTTTCTGGAACTTTCTGTTGGACAGAGAATACGGAGAGGTAGCATTGGAGTCTGGAATTACATTAGCCCCAAAATGGGAGGAATTGGATTTGCAAGTTGTATTGTAAGTAATTTTTATATTTTTCTCAGATTCTAAATGTGTTTGTATATATTCACTGACTGTGATTTGATGAAGTGTTCTTAATATGTTATATTCTTCTCTCCGTGTCCACATTTGATTGGTCACTGTTCAGCATTAACAAGACTAAAGTTGAGCCACTGTAGTTGTTTAATCTCATTGATGTAGTTTTAGTGTCTGAAGTCCCAGCACTGTCCTTTCATTTAGCGATAAACCATTAAAAAAATATATATTTTTTTGTAATTACTATTTGTTTTGCGATTTTTAAATGCAGTACAAGGTATGGGATTTACTGTGGGATTTTGCGAGACGCTGGATGTCCTCATGCATAGCTTTAGGGCGAACAGGGTCGCTTTATGGAGTTAAACAATGTGAAACAGCAGGAAGCGGCTCTAGTGGCAATCTGATAGAGAGCTTCTAGAGTCAGCCTTAACCCTAAATTGAAAATATTGCAGTTTCTCTAAAACTGCAATAGTTTCATCTACTGGATACAGGGGACAGGGAAAGTGCACCCAGACCACTTCAATGAGATGAAGTGGTCTGGGTGCCTATACCGTCCTTTTATGCTTCTTCAAGTTCCATTTTGTTTGATGTTGAGATAAAATTAATTCCCAGAAGTATTGTGTTGACATAATTTCTGATGCACTATTGAGGACTTAGAGACCGTAAATCCTTGATTATTAATTTTCAGTGTTCTTATATGCTAATTTTGCCTTAAATATAATACTTGAAGAGCTGTATGGATCTGTTTATATTTGTGTTTTACCTATTTTTAGTATGTTTATGTTCTTAGAATTAGAAAAAGCAAAACATTTGTCATTTACATTTTCTTACATTAGTCTCTACTTTTTAATACGGCAATCGTGAGGTCTGTTTTGTTGATGTTTCGAATCGTGGTGAACTGATGGAGTAATAGAAGTAAAATTACAACATAGTTTCTTTTTGTATTGCAGGTATGTTTGTTTGTGGCACTTTACTACAATGTCATTATTGGATGGAGTTTATTTTACTTCTCTCAGTCGTTTCAGCATCCATTGCCGTGGGATCAGTGCCCTTTGGCGAAAAATGCTACTAATACTTGTGAGACATGACCACAAACCTTTTTTATATTAAACATTATTATTACTACATTCTGCTCCTTGTCCCTGTGTCAGCATGGAATGTCCTGGTTATTATGAGCAGCCCTAGAGAGCCCTGCTGTCATTCATTGAGTGGTTTATTCTTAATTGAAAATAATCCTTAAAGCTCTGTCAGTCCTCAACCCCTCCACCTCCCTCCAAAGAAAAATAGTATTTCATAAAGAGAAATCTTTATAAAATACTCACATTGACTGTTTTGGAATTTCAGTGACATTCCAACTCAGTCAAAAGAGACTTGGTATTTCCTAAGTTTGACAAAGCTTGAAATAAAGCAACTTCTGTTAAGCTCCAGTGAACACTAGTGATGGTCACTCCTGTGGTCTCCATACACATCAGTGCTCTACTCTTGCAGAGTACAGCATTGACTTTTTTTTCTGGCAGATGAAGCTCTGGAACTGAAGAGGATCCTGCAGAAAAAGAGGGTGGCAGCCAAAAAGGACAGGTTCAAGTAAATAAAACTCTGCTTTCCCTGCATCTTGTGGCCACCACTCAGCAAGTGGCAAAGTCACTATCGAGGGTCTTGGCAAAATATGCACAGACCCCAGAGGGTGACAAAGACACTTTAAAGGTGAACTGTCACTTCTGTGAAAGTGATAGTTGCTCATTTCCTCATCCCAAAAAAACATTATTGAAGTTTTCACTGGGGTAAGTAATGCAGGGAGGTAAGTAAAAAAAACACTTACTACCACAGCACTTATATGTCTAGGGAAATGTTATCATCTCGTGATGCTCTGGGTGCATTTACATACACTTTTATTGTGCAGAAAAATACGACTATATAGATTAAATTAATCTGCATCTTATGTTTTGGCTGTGCCAGGTCAACCAGACATACAACGCAAATTAACAAAATATAATTGGCACAGAACGTAAAAAATAAATTACACATTCCAATGCTAATTTTTATGAGTTTACCCAAAAATCTCATCTGACAATTTTGCTATCAAAATCTTTTTACAGTTTCAAATGTGCCTTTACATCAACCATCAAGGGGCTGCCAGGCAACATTTGGACTCTGGTTGAATCTTTCAAAAGCCCCAGACACTTTTAAGATTATAATAAGAACGTGATACTTTTGATTTTGGCTGAGGATGATTAGGGTTGTAATCCCTCAAAGACTTTGATGATGCCTCTCAGTGCCATTAGTGGAGGTATAGTTTTGCTTTAAGACCAGATTTTAAGAACAGCATAGGCTGCCACTACTCTGAGCATTATCTAAATCTAAATAATGTCAATATCAATTTTAATATAAGATATTGAAGTGACCAAAAGAAAATAAATCAGAAATTTATTTCAATACTTACCATAATTTCCTTTTCCTGGCTAATATCCATGTCAGCATGACTTATGGGTTAAGCTCCTCCCTCATAGCTGATAGGAAAGGAAAATTCAAAATTAAATTAACAACATTATCTCCTCCCCCTAAAAAAGAAAATTATGGTAAGAATTGAAAACATCTTCTGTTTTCCTGACTAATCCATGTCAGCATCACCTATGGGATTTCCACAGTTTACATGGATGGGAAATGAAAGAAAATACACAGGAACTGTCACAAATTATGAAAATGTATTTATGAGGAACTGTTGAATGTAAAACACTTCTTCTGAAGGAGGAGGCAGGAGAGGGGGCCACATTCAGATGGTTGTGCATAACAAAAGTGTTAGATGATGACCATTCTGCTGCCTTACAAATCTCCTCAGTATAGGTATGCGCCAATGATGCCCAAAATGCAGATATAGTCCTCGTATAGTGAGCCTTGATACCTTTCCTTTCCTACTTTTTCAGACTTTCTTGCTGGCTACTAAACAAGAGGTGGCTGCGCTTCTCCTTTCCTCTCGCCCCACCACTTGCCCGCTCGATCCTGTCCCATCTCACCTTATCAGATTTCACGCCCCTTGTCTTGTGCCTTCCTTAACACACATCTTCAACTGCTCTCTCTCTTCTGACATTATCCCTGCTGACCTTAAACATGCCACTGTAGTACCTATCCTGAAAAAAACATCTCTTGACCCGTCCTCCCCCTCGAACTATCGTCCCATATCCCTATTTCCTTTTTCCTCAAAGCTCCTGGATAGACTTGTCTTTACCCGTATGTCTCACTTCCTCAATTCCAACTCTCTCCTTGACCCTCTTCAATCTGGCTTCTACCCTCTCTACTCTACTGAGACTGCTTTTATCAAAGTCACTAACGACCTAATCACAGCTAAATGCAAAGGCCACTACTCCATACTAATTATTCTTGACCTCTCTGATGCCTTTGACACTGTTGATCATGCTCTCCTTCTTCAAACTCTTCAATCACTCTGTCTCTGTGACTTTGTCCTCTTATGGTTTTCCTCTTATCTCTCCCAACGCTCATTCAGTGTCTCCTTTTCTAATGATACCTCCTCGCCTCGTCCTGTCTCGGTTGGAGTCCCCAAGGCTCTCTCTTTGGTCCGCTTCTATTTTCTCTTTATACTGCCTCTCTTGGCAAACTTATAACTATATTTGGATTCCACTACCACCTGTACGCTATTGACACCCAGGTATATCTCTCCTCGCTGGACCTCTCCCCTGCCATCCTGCAAAGTGTTACTGTTTGCCTTTCTTCCATCTCTGACTGGATAACCTCCTGTTTTCTGAAACTCAATATCTCTAAAACTGAGCTCATTGTCTTCCCTCCTCCTAATACTGATCCTACTCTTTCATTCTCCCTTCATCCTTGCAAGCGCGCTGTTTTGGCGTCATACTTGATTCTGGTCTCACCTTTGAGCCTCACATCCAGTATGTTGCCAAATCCTGTAGATTCCATCTTAAAAACATAGCCCGCATCTGCCCCTTTCTTACGCAAGATGCTACCAAGGAGCTTGTCCATGCTATAGTAATTTCCTGCATGGATTATTGTAATCCTCTCCTAATTGGTCTTCTCAAAAGCCGTATTGCCTCCCTACAGTCTGTAATGAATGCTGCCGCCAGACTGATTTTCCTCTCTAGTCGGTCCTCTCACATCTCACCCTTCTGTCAGTCCTTACATTGGCTTCCTGTATACTATAGGAGTCCATTCAAAGTGCTAACCCATACCTATGAAGCACTGAACAATTCTAGCCCCTCTTATATCTCTTCACAGATGCATAGGTATGCCCCTTCTCTGTCTCTCCGCTCTGCCCGTGACCTTCTCCTGTATGGCCAACTCACACTTGCAGGACTTCTCACGGGCGGCTTCCTTCCTATGGAATAGCCTGAGTACCACCATCAGACTCTACCTTAGTCTTTAATCATTTAAAGACTTAAAACTCATCTCTTTAGGAAAGTTTATGGCCTCCTAGAGTAACCTCTATCTCACATACCTGTCTCTTGCTCTCTCCTAAATGGCAGCACTCTACTCTCTCCTCAGCTCTGCTTCCCTCTTACCTTATTTGATTGCTATTTTCTGTCCTAATTTGTTTTATACCCCACCTCCTACAGACTGTAAGCTATCGTTCCTGTAGGTTTTCTTGTAATTGTCCTATTTATTGTTAAATCCCCCCTCTCATACTATTGAAAAGTGCTACGGAATCTGTTGGTGATATGTAAATGGCAATAATAATAATACCTTCTGTAATAGGCTTTCAAGCTACCTTGTAAGCCTTCTGAATAGCAGACATAAGCCACCTACAGATAGTGGAGAATGAGGCCACTTCACACTTGTGATGTCCAAAAGGAATGATGAACAGTATGCTGGTTTCCTAATCTCTTTAGTTCTAAACAGATAAATACAAATAGTTCTCACCACATCTAGGGTATGCCACAAAGCATCTTCATCAGATGAAAAAAGGAAAGCAAAAAAAATTCTGATTAATATGGAACTTGGAGGTGACTTTAGGAAGGAATTCTGGAACTGGATGAAGGACTACAGTGTCTCCCACAAATTGTGTAAATGGAGCATCCAAGGACAGAACCTGAATTTCAGAAGCACTGCGAGCAGGTTTAATGGCAATAAGAAAGACACATTTAATTAGTGATAGTCACAAAGGCTCACATTGCACCTTGAGAGAGACTCAATCATTTTTCTAGGCCATTTCGGAAAAATTCCTATAAGTCTGAAATATCTACATATTATATTTCCTTATCCAAAGAAGTAGTTCAATCACAATAAGCTTTCCATATCTTGTAATAGACATCGGAGATAGATGGCTTCCTGAATTTGGGTATGGTATACACCACTATATCTGAGAGACCTCTAGCTTTAGGGATTATTTTTTCGATCTCCAGGTCCTCAGTTGAATTAAGATGGGTTTTCATGAAAGACTGGACAAAAGTGTCTTCTTGACAGGAATCTCCCAAAGATCTTCCTGGGATAATCAAAGAAGAAACGGAACCAAGAACTCCTGGGCCAGTATGGAGGATGACAATTCTTTCCACACCCTCCTTTCAGTCTTGCATATGTGGTACACTCCAAAAGACAGAGGTCAGCCATATTGGAAATGATGATCATGGAAGTAGGAAGTAGCACTGAGTGCCTGATATCCCTAAGGGAACAGGAGCTCCAAAGGAGAACCAATTACTGCAACAGGATTTAGAAAGGAAATGAGAACTCGTACATGGGAGGAGCACTCTACTGAATGCCAACAGCCATCTTAGGACACCCAAGTTGGGGGGACAGGAGCAAAAGACTAAGGGAGCAATGGGAAGCAACAATAATCTATGTTAACAAATTACATAAGTAACATAAGAAAAGAATGGCTGATAAACCTCATGTATGCAATGCAGAAAATTTACCATATCTTCATTAACTATCTCTTCAGTTACCATAGACTACTATACTAACTGTGACTACTGGGAGCAAAAGGACACTTTACAAAGGTTCCTAAATTGTTCCTATGTCTAAGTCACCCTGTACCCATTATAGGTTCAGGGTGTTTATATTGTGTTTGTATATTGTTAATTGTTTCGTGTGCTCTCCTGTACTACTGATACTTGTTACCAACTAGTGGATTTGGCTATGGAACCTGTAAAGCACCCTCTGTTGGTAGCAACAGCAATATTCACTACCTGAATAGCAAGTCTAGTTAATTTGCATATTCTTGTGGATTTGCACATTGCTAATTCTTCAGGCAGGAGAGCTATTTTCTGTTCATTATTGTCTTCCCCATACCTTTATAAATATGTCATTATGCTATTATAATTCTCTGTATATTTTGTGACATGTTTTGGATATTTGAATTTTATTATGTTTGTCACTGCAATGTATGTAATGAACTTATGGGCTAGTCCCAAGAAAAATAAAGTACTATATGTTAGTTCCATTTGGAACGGTGTCCTGTGTGAATTTTTAGGGATCCCACCCACAGAGTTGTCGTACCTGTTGGCTGGCTGCATGATCTCTCGTGCCCTTGGATAAATCAAGAGACCCAGGTCTGAGAGCTGCAAGTGCCTTTGTAAAGGCAATAAAAATCACATTGCAGACAGAGGTGTATACCTGCCTTGAGGAAGGACTGTAGTGGAATAGGCATAGGGGACAATACCTGCCTGGAAGAAAGGCTGCAGTGGAAAAGGCAGAGGGGACCTGGATGGTGAGCTGCAGCCTGGTTGGGCGTAAAAGCTTCAGAAGGACCCCTGTCAAGCTGCGGCGACTGAGGCAGGAGAGCTTCAGTTTTCCCCGGTTCCACCTGGGAAGGGATCCTGGGTGGAAGTACACAGCCGGGGTACAGGGAGCTCCACTACAGTAACCTTCGACTGTATGTGGGATCTTCTCTAGGGAGAGAGGTTGAACTCTGTAGGGAAGCCATAGTGGAAAGCTAATGGCAGGTGAACTATAGATTAAAATTGGTATGCTGCCTATCAGCTGAAGGACATGAACAAAATACTGCTCTTTAGGGGGAGGAGACTCCTTTTTACAATATCCTTAATTTTAATATTCTTGTCCTATCAGCTAAGAGGGAGCTTAACCAATAGGTGATGGATTATCCAGGAAACAAGAATTTGACCAATTACGGACAGTGACCCTGCTATCAATAGTTTGTTACATATTCCAAAGGATCCGTTCTAACCAGTAGTATCCCTTTAAAGCAGGCATTACCTGCTAAATGGGAATATGTAATGAAGTAGGTGTTGTGGTGGAATCTATATTTCTATAATGTGTATATATATACTCAGTGACTATTCACTGGAAACTTTAAAGACTGTTATAAATCAGGACTTTAACAATTTTAGAGATGCTGGAACCACAAGGTTTGGTGCCAACAGTTATAGGACAGTCAAAGTGTCATAGATATCATGTCCTCCCCATTGTATTTTATGGTCAAACAACAACTAAGCCTGTTGACTGTGTCTGATTAGTACATTTTACATGGCTCTTTTCCCCTTAAAAGGAAACTATAGTGACAGGAAAACAAACTTGTTTTCCTGGCAGTATTGCTTCCCCCTCCATCAAGCCCCCCCCTGTGCTGCAGAAGAGGTTAAAAACCCTTCTGTCACGTACCTGGGTCCAGCGTCAATGTCCCTCTGTGCTGGCTCGGTTCCACCTTCTCTCCTCCCCCACCGAAGTCAGCCGGCATGGGAGATCTAATGTGAAGTGAAGTGGTCATGGTGACTGGAGTAACCCTTAAGGAGAGGTTTAGGGTTAGGGTCTGTGTAAATACAGACACACATATGAATACTAAAACATACACACAAAAACATGCATAGGTACCTGGCTGTTTGTTAAAGGGGAACTGCCATTTCTCAGAATTTTTACTTATGCCCAATATTTACCAAACATGTATTTATGAGGTTTGAAAAGTAAAATGAAATGTAGAAATTCACACCTCTTTATCCTGTACCTGTGTTCATTTAATCTTGCCCTTTTTCAGTAACTGTTGCTGCCCCCCCAATGTGTTCCCTATTAACGGATAATAAGTGGGTTTAGAAAATTACCCCATTCTGTATCGTTAGAGATTTTACCTTTTAGCTGAAAGCAGAAAGTGGAATTGTTAGCTAGAATTTCGCCTTGAAGTGGCAGATGAGCTTACAGTTTATTGGCCATTGGGGTGATGCTAAAAATCCTCCAGTTATGCAAATAATGCCAGTTCTAATTATATCATTATTAGTTCATTTATTTGAACATCAGCATATTATTAATGCACATATTAAACATTTGTTCTAAATGTTCTACACTAGGGGAGAAGCGCTACACTAAGTGGCAAGCTGACAACTGATATGCAGTCAAGCTGTATAATGTTTGGTCTACACCTCAAGTATCAATTCTAATCTATTGACTAGTTACAGAAAATACTCCTAGAAAATGTATTTCATTCTCTAACACTCATTCTAACATTCTCTAACATTTATTCTCTGACATTCCTGTATTGTAGTTGTGGAACCCGAATGTGAGAAAAGCTCAGCAACTACATATTACTGGTATAGAGAAGCTTTGAATATCTCAAACTCAATTACAGAAGGTGGAGGACTTAATTGGAAGATGACTCTTTGTTTACTTGCTGCCTGGATTTTAGTCTGTCTTGCTATGATCAAAGGCATCCAGTCTTCTGGGAAAGTGAGTATATACTCTGAGGTTTTTTCAATTAATATTGAACTGTAATAAATTCAAAATCAATTTACAAAGGTTAGGCTAAAAGAGCTGATTTGGAAAAATTCTCCAACTTGGCTAGAGCCATAGATGAACTATTATAGACTGACTACGTTTTGTCGTTTGTTTTTCAGTTCACTGATATCGTTCTGATTGACAAACCTGTTTACAACGAACAAAAACGTGGCATGTATGGTATATTGTCTCCAACATGGGGTTTTATTCACCAAACAGCAATTGTAGCAATTTAAAAATTGAATTGAAACATTTGGACAAAAATAGCTGATTTGGGAAAATCTTCCAACTTAACTATAATCACAGCTTGGGTGTATTAGACTTTTTTTAGACTAGATTTGCAATTCCAATTGAAATACACTACAATTATCTGCTTATTGAATAGACCGCATGTAATTGTAAAAATTTTTTTTAAAGTACAACATAAAACAACAACAAAGATCCACTGTTTTTATGATACATCTCTGTGTATGTGATAGCACTTTATGAATCAATGGCTGTGTTGAACGGCCTTGTAAGCAAGATAACGTGCATTCTCACTTATCATATTTCCAAAATAAATGCTTGTGTTATTTAGAAATGTAAGCTGTTAAGTAAATATACAGATAGTAATGGCTCATATTATAGTTCATTGATGGCTTACTTTGAGACTGCAGATATTGCTTTAAAGGGACACTATAGGCACCCAGATCACTTCAGCTCATTGAAGTGGTCTGGGTGCAGTGTCCCAGGTCCCTTTTAAGAAATTGCAATTAGCTTGGTGGGGTAACAACCTCTGATGCTGGACGTCCTAATGCTATGCATTGCGATGGGCATGGGAATGTCACACAAAACCACAGAGGAAAGCACAGTATAATGCTTTCCTATGGGGAAATCATAATGTGAGCGTGGCTATTGAGGAGCAAATGTGGACCTGGGCTGGTGCTGGACTGAGGTAAGTAACAGAAGAGGATTTTAACCCCTTCTGCATCCTGGTAGGGGGAGGGCACAAGGGAGGAGGAGGTTATAGTGCCAGGGAAACAACTTTGTTTTGCTGGCACTATAGATTCGCTTTAAGCAGAAAGAAATGTAGTTCATCAATATTTGCAGAGCTGAAGTTAATCAACACTGGTGTAATGATTGTATTATTTACTTTGTCACTTGTCATTGTCAGGACAAATGTAATACTTCAATATACTTTATCAATGATTTAATTTGACCTACTCTGTACAGTAACAATAAAACATTTGATTTCAAATGCTTGAAACCATGTTGTTCACTAATATCCTAATTTTTAGTTGTTTAACCCCTTAAGGACACATGACCTGTGTGACATGTCATGATTCCCTTATATTCCAGAAGATTGGTCCTTAAGGGGTTAAACATGACTATAAACACTGCATGATACTCATAAAAAACATACTACTAATAATATTAATGATGTGTGAGGTTACTTTATGAAAGCTGTTACCAAGATACAGAACAGAAATTCAATTCCTTTAATTAAGATAATGTTTTGGTGGCTGAAGAAGGATCAGACCTCTAGATAGTTAATAAAAGAACAGGGTTTGGATGTCAAGTTATAGAGACCTTTGTGAACAGACAGAAATGGAAAATAAAGTCAAAATGATTTGCTTGTGGAAAACAAATGAATGTTCAGGCACATTACCATGTTAGTATCTACATGATATTGTCTTTTATCCATAGGTGATGTACTTCAGTTCTCTATTTCCATATGTCGTCCTTACATGTTTTCTTGTGAGAGCTTTATTACTAAATGGCTCTGTCGATGGGATCCGGCACATGTTCACACCAAAGGTAAACATATAATAACTGTATGACAATTGCAACAACTTAGGACCAAAATTCTTGTTGCCGTGGTGCCTACAGAAAGGCTTACTTATACATATATTTAAATATGAATTACTTATATCCCATAATTTCTTATAAAAATAAGAATTTCCTCATTTTATATAGGATATGCAGTTTTGGGCAAAACTTTGATATGACTTATTCAGTGGACAGATATATAGATTAAAGGAACACTATAGGGTCAGGAACACAAACATTTCTGACACTATAGTGTTAAACCACTATTTAGGTCCTAGGCACCCCCTGCTTTTTACTCACCTTTCCCATGCTATGCTGGAATAACTGTGGTTGGCCTTACCTTGCTCCACCTCCATGGCTGAGATCATCAAACTTGGAAAGCATTGGGAGGATATTGCTCAGAGACAGAAAAATTGCCTCATTGTGCCAATCAGCAACTCCTAATAGAGATGCATTGACACAGAAAGCACCTCTAGTGGCAGTCGAATGAGTACTACTAGAGGTGTTACTAGACAGTAATGTAAACAATGTATTTTCTTGAAATAGGCAGTGTTTACATTAAAAAGCCTACAGGGACACCAGAACCCCTAAATTAAGCTGTAGTTGTTCTGGTGACTATAGTGTCCCTTTAATTCTATCATTAAACTTCTCAACTTTATGACGTACAATCTCAACTCTGTCTATTTTTTTGTTCATGATAACATGCCTTCGGGGAAAAACTAATCGGCGTTAGTAAACATCAGACTAATGGTCAATTGTCCTTCATTCAAACACATTGTGTCCTCTAGGGAAAAATAACAACGTGCTTAACAATCTATTTTTGCTATATTTAGTCATTTTAGTTGCGCACTGTGTGTATATGCAGCCAATAGGAACACAACATCGATGTATATCAATGATTCTAATCAGACTGTATTTAATACATTTGCGTCTGTGTGGAAACAATAACAGGACACTCCAGGCTGGGGATGTTCTTTTTTTTTTTTTTTTTTAAACATACAGAAATACATATGCCCCCCAAAATAATAATAACTAGAAAAGCTACAATTTCTGGGGAAATTGTGTGAAGTGTTCTTGCCTCCACCAGTAGTCTACAACTGGAGTGGATGGAGTAACTGTTATCATTTATATAACACATTTAATTGCAACGTTGTTGCACAGTTACATTAAACCATACATTTATAAAAACATTAGCAGGTGTTCAAAAGGCCCTGTCTATGACATCACTTGCTGCTGCAGCCTGGCACAGGTTAGAGTATTTTGGCGGTTGCCATCTTCAAACGGTCGTATTTTAAAAACTATAAATCCTACAGCAAAGAGCTTTATATTGTGAGAATCACAAGACCCAGACCTACATTTTGATGCATAGTATGTCTCTGAAGTATTAAAATTGAAGGCACAGTCGCAGTTTAGAAATTGCCCTTCAAGTTTGAGCTGGCTAGAGTGGAGTTTCAATGAATGTCAATGGACGGCGTTAGTTGCAAACAAATGATTATATTGTGAAAACTATCAGGACTATGGCTTAGCCGTTGACATGTTTAGTGGCAGCAGGGATAGCTGAACGTTTTGATAAAAGATTTGTGTAGGTGGGCCTGAAAATAAGGGAGTGGTGGCAGTTTAGAAATCATGTCCTGATTTTTCAGCTTTTGCCAGCTCCCACTCTAGTTTTGAACATTTTGCCATTCATTCCTATGGGACCAATTTCGCCACAAGAACGACGATATTCCGTGAACCATTCGGCGAAACGTTCCACAAAGTAATAGCACACCAATCGGGAACAATCCGCACGTTTTGGTATATTATGGTCTATGTAGTGTAAAAACTGTGGGAGGAGTTAGGTTGGTAAATTTGGCTAAAATAAGAATAAGAATAATATATATGTGAGATAACATTAAGTGGTCTTGCTATGCAAGAACACTTAATAATAAAAAAAAATACAAAATAAAGAGGTGCTTTATATGCATAGTAAACTTGTCTGGGAGTTGTAGAAAAGCAGCTGATTAACTCCACTTTCCAGGCAAAAAAAAAAAAAAAAAGAAAATATGGAAAAACGTAACCAGCAAAAGTAGCTGTATGCTATCTTCCACATTGCACAAAAAAATGCCCATGTGCCGGGACTTCCAATATAATAATATAAACCTATTCAGTATAACTAACTGTAACCTTATTTACATATTGCACCTAATTCTTCTCTAATTACAGCTAATGGAATAGTAATAATGCTAACAGGGGTCTATCCAAGGTATCTTCTTACAAAGAAATACACTGGAATCTCAGTTTTGGTCCTTGATAAATCTAACAGTTCATCTCTATGATATGTGCTAAGAATGATTCATCTCTACGATATGTGCTAAGAATGATGTACCAGATTGTTCGCAGGCCTGACATTAAGTAGGCGATTATGGTGAATTGGAATCCATATTGGAGATTTCAAGCTTAACTTATTTTGGTATCAAACCCATACACTGTATTATATTTTCTTTTTTTATGAAAAAAAAGAAACTCTTCAATCGCTCGGTCTCTGTGACTCTGTCCTCTCTTGGTTTCCTTCTATCTCTCCCAACGCTCGTTCAGTGTCTCCTTTTCCAAGGATACCTCCTCCCCTCATCCTGTCTCGGTTGGAGTTCCCCAAGGCTCTATCCTTGGGCCCCTTCTATTTTCTCTTTATACTGCCTCTCTTGGTAAACTTATTGTCTCTTTTGGATTCGACTACCACCTGTATGCTGATGACTCTCAGATATACCTCTCCTCCCCAGACCTCTCCCCTGCCATCCTGCAAGGTGTGTCACTGCTTGCCTTTCTTCCATCTCTGAGTGGATGACCTCACGCTTTCTGAAACTCAATCTCTCTAAAACTGAACTCCTTGTCTTTCCTCCTCCTAAAACTGATCCTCCTCTCTCGCTCTCCCTTCAAGTCAGTGATATCCACATAAGTACATCCCTGCAAGCGCGCTGACTTGGTGTCATACTTGACTCTGGTCTCATCTTTGATTCTCACACTTTTAAAAACATAGCCCGCATCCACCCCTTTCTTACACAAGATGCTACCAAGGAGCTTGTCCATGCTCTAGTAATTTCCTGCATGGATTACTGTAACCCTCTACTGATTGGTCTCCCCAAAATCCATATTGCCCCACTACAGTCTGTAATGAATGCTGCAGCTAGACTGATTTTCCTCTCTAGTCGGTCCTCTCACACCTCACCTCTCTGCCAGTCCTTACATTGGCTCCCATTATCCTATAGGAGTCAATTCAAAGTGCTAACCCATACATTTAACCCCTTAAGGACCAAGCTTCTGGAATAAAATGGAATCATGACATGTCAGACATGTCATGTGTCCTTAAGGGGTTAAAGCACTGAACAATTCTAGCCCCTCTTATATCTCTTCACTGATCCATAGGTATGCCTCTCCTTGTTCCCACCTCCTGACCGCTGCTCGCACCCGTACGGCCAACTCGCGCTTGCAAGACCTCTCACGGACGGCTCCTTTCCTATGGAATAGCCTGCCTACTGCCATCAGACTCTCCCCTAGTCTTCAATAATTTAAGAAGGGCCTTAAACCCATCTCTTTAGGAAAGCTTGTGGCCTCCCAGAGTAATCTCTACCTTACATACCTGTCTCTTGCTCTCTCCTATAGGACAGTGCTTTACTCTCTCCTCCAGCTCTGCTTCACTCCCACCCTATTTGATATTTCCTGTCCTAACGTTTCTAATACCCCACCTCCTATAGTCTGTAAACTCATTTGAGCAGGGTCCTCTTCAACCTATTGTTCCTGTAAGTTTTCTAGTAATTGTCCTATTTATAGTTACATCCCCCCTCTCATAATATTGTAAAGCGCTACAGAATCTGTTGGTGCTATATAAATGGCAATAATAATAATAAATATAATCTTTATTTTTAAATTGCCACGCTAAACCACTTTATTGCACCATTAAACTGAATATATGAAGAAAATGTAATAGCAGACAAGCCTGATTAAGTCGCATGTTTTGTGCACCAAATTTCTTAGGTGGCTTATAGCATCTTCGTGGAAAATGGCATTTTACAAAGTTCTTATGAGGGTAATATGCTCAAAAAAATCCATTTAATGTTAAGCTAAAAAATTGCTGCTTTTTTGTGACTGAGCTATGGATTCAAGTGCCACCTAGTGTTCGGTATTGAAAGATGCGATTAGAATAAAATTCACAAATGGGTGCTTAGTCAATAAAGCCAAATTTAAATCTAACTGGCAAAATTGAGGCTAAAAAAAAGCAAAAACCAATTGCAAATATAGCAAAGTTTGAAAATGTTTCCAGAATAGCTGTTTTTGCCTACAATATGCAATTTGGATTTGAAGTTACCGCAATTTGTACCTTAATGAATATTCAGCCATTACACTTCATTTATGAATCTTTCAAATTGGAACAACCAATTGAGGTTGTCGCTTGCATATCACTTTTATGTTCTGTACAGTTCATTCGGTAACTCTCTTTATCAGTAATTACTTTATAATCTTGACATTACACATTTTTCTAAATCATATACTAATATTTAACATAATCATAATGGAATTATAATAATGTCTCATAATGGCACACCTGTGCAATAATCATGCTGTCTAATCAGCATCTTGATATGCCACACCTGTGAGGTTGATGGATTATCTCGGCAAAGGAGAAGTGCTCACTAACACAGATTTAGACAGATTTGTGAACAATATTTGAGAGAAATAGGCCTTTTGTGTACATAGAAAAAGCTTATGAAAAATGGGGGGCAAAAACAATAGGGTTGCGTGTATAATTTTTTTCAGTGTAAATGTACTTGTCTGTCCAACGAATAAATAAGTGCCAAAATATTAGATCAGTAGCTGGTTATTTTGTTTTCAAAGTAAAATTTTATAAATGGAAATGTTATTTTTGGCATTCATCGAAAATTCTAAAGGGTATTAGAAAATGTTCCTAGTTTCGTTTCCCTAGGTCTATTCATGTGAAATGCTGGCAGGTAAGTTAGGGGGAATTTAGGTATTTATTGCTACCTACTAAATTACAGGTACAACCCATTCTATGTGCGAAAGCTTCTACCTTTAGATACCTGGAAAGGACAAACAAATAAACCATTAAGCACAGTGAACCTTAAACATGTATAGAATATTATGTAAATTGTTCTGCTTTCCTTCAGTCTCTGTGTTTTTTGTGTTATCTCCTTAGCCCTAAATACTCCCTAAACATGCACAACTTTTAAATTAATCAGTCAGTGCTAGATGCGCTGAAACATAAACACATAGATATATAGTGGATAAAATGACTCTGGATGGACCTCAGGAGCCACAGACTTGTAAATGGTCTTTAAGAAACTGAATTGGTGGCAGAACTCCCTAGTCACCAATCATGATGCAGAGACCCTCACCCTAAAAAAATGAGGATATAAATTCGTAGAGATGTATGTATTTTACATGACAGTACATGTTCAATTACATGTAAGATATACATTTATTACATTTAAAGGGCTTGAATTATCACTGTCACTTTATTGTTATTAAAAATAGCTATTTTGTTTCTTTGCAAACAGCTTGAGATCATGCTGGAGCCCAAGGTATGGAGAGAAGCTGCCACCCAGGTGTTCTTTGCATTGGGATTGGGATTTGGAGGAGTCATCGCTTTTTCAAGCTACAACAAACGAGATAACAACTGTCATTTTGATGCTGTCTTGGTGTCATTAATCAACTTTTTCACCTCTGTCTTGGCTACGTTGGTAGTGTTTGCAGTATTGGGATTTAAAGCAAATATTATGAATGAGAGCTGCATAACTCAGTAAGATTGAGCCTTCCTTTATTTCTATCTGCGATATTCCTAATCACTAAAAGGGGACGATGGGTTAATATATGTTCTTTTTTACAGGAACACTGGGAAGATTGTTAAACTTTTGGAATTAGGAAATGTGAGCAGAGATATAATCCCCCATCATATCAATTTCACAAGAATCACAGCAATGGACTACCAGCTAGTGTATGATATCATCAAGAAGGTAAAAGAAGAAGAATTTGATCAACTTGGACTCTCTGCTTGCCAGATTGAAGATGAACTTAACAAAGTAAGTTTTATCTTTTGTTGTGATATTTATTAATGTTCATATTATGTTACTATGTTGCATAATGCAAAGTAGTGCCCATGCTGTGATGTAGTCTTTAAATGGCAGGGTTATTCAGTAAAATGTGAATTATAGTGAATTTGAATGGATTCCAAGTGAATTGGAGGCACACAGAGAACATGCTTTTTTTAAAGCAGTGGTGCTGCCGTAAAGACCAAAACATTTACAAAATACAGTTAAAGGAACAACGCACACACAAACAAAAATACAGCTTAACATTTAACAAGGCTACTTAATATCACCTATCTTAGCAATTAAATATGGGGATTCAGTTCCACCATGTAGCCATATCGTGTGAAGCCCATCACTAGGTCACATTACCCCAATATCGGTGGGTCCTACACTAATTTTAACAGGGGAGATTTACATGCTAACTTGCAATAATTACTTGCAGTATAAACTGCTTCAAGAGACTCCTCAATTTAAGCTTTCCTGTGGTCACCTCCAAAGGAGCTCCCAAAAAAAGAGGATTAATGGGAAAAAAGATGATTCATAGCTAGAGGAGAGCCAATAAATGTTGATTTTATTCATAGGTCTAGTGAGAAGTGACCAACAGAGAGAGGGAAATAAGAAGGAGCAGTAAAAAAAAAATCTATATTAATATATATTATATATTTAATAAACATATAATACATTAATATAGAATTTCTTGCACTGCTCTTCCTCCTTTTAACTCTATTAGTTACTTCTTCTCACTTGATCTGTGAACCACATGGAGTGAAAATGAGCCTATCAGTGTACTGCAAAATACGTAAATATATAATATACTATATAATACTTACATTTTGCGGTACACTTATTAGCCCATTTTTGCCCATTTTTGGAATATCCAATCTTTTTTCCTGAATCGATTGCATAAATTCAATTTGTCCATACCAACATACCATGTAACAAAACTTCAGACCCCCAAAGTAAATTATTATTATTATATTTCAGATAAATCACTTTATTTCACTGTGCACAAACCTAATGTTTTAATTATTGCAACCTTTCAACTATATGTTATTCATAAAGCTGTCTAATCCATTTGATTTATGTTGGAAAGTGGCACATTTTGCATCACTGTTTCCCAAAGAAATTTTGATTATATATGTAGTAGACTTCCATGTATCCTGGCTGGATACCTCCACCATGGATCTCTTCTTAGCTAGAATCGGGGAAAACCTCAGCACTTCTGTCCCAGTCGCCTTGTTTTTACTGGGGTCCGTCTGGAGCCTCTTCGTGCTGGAGCAGGATAGGGGACTAGCTCTATTATCTCCCAGGGACTGGACACTACACAATCCTGGGAGCTATAGTCCTTACAAGGACTTTTTCCGCTAAATTCTCCACAAGCTGGAACAAAGTGCTGAGCAGTGAATAGCCCTTTCCCCTCCCAGTAACTAGACGACACATAGTTATGGGTGTAAAACTGATTTTAATGAGCCAGACTCATTGCCTTTTATGCACATACCTCAGGGGATCTCCAAACAATACAATACAAGACCCTCCCAGGAATCTCTGGGCATAAGAGATAATTGAGTCAAAGACTGGTAAACTAATTATTTCCCAGGAACAGAGAGCCAAACATTAAAACATAAAAGTACTCCAAAACATCATAAAACATATATTAAGTCCACATGTCCTACATCCCTAAACAGCCCTGATCTGAGTGCCCAAGTTGTCCAAATAGTGCTAAGATCCATGTAGTGTAGGGATATCGCCACTGTGGCAAAGTTCTGACCAGTCGCACACATGGTCCTATGCCCAAAATAGTTCCAGAGCATTTTGTGCCTTTGCCAGGCAACTTTTGGGAGCTCCTGCGGCTGAAATACGGGGTGCACCACCTGGCTTTCAGCATTTGTTCCCCTTAGTCTCAGACACCTTCCCTCTAAAAATTGCTCTCTTGTGGTTCAAAACCCTGGACAAAGTTGTCCAGGGACCGCAAGGTCACCTAGCCAAAAACAGTTCCAAATCGGTTGCGACTAAGTACCGCTGAGGACCGTTCGTGGATTTGTAAATGTGAACGGCTGCCAGGGAGCTAGCATTTGGTTTAATTTGAATGAAGGGAAAGTGCCAAACCAAGGGCACCGCTGGAAAGCTGCTAATGACAGCTGAGCAGGGTAACTCCTCAGCGGGGTCTCAGACCTGGACCATAGTCGGTCAGCAGGAGGCCAGCTTCCACACTCCTACAGGCGTTCATGGCAAACGTTTGTAAAAGACGTTTGCCATGAAAAGAGCTTTTGTCACAATATAGTAATAATCACATTATAAAATTTTGTATTCAATATCCATTGTTGTCTATATACAAGCTTTTGATATGAAATAAATGTTGTTTTTTTAATTTAATGACACATTATGTTTTTAATCTATGTTTTAAAAGTGCATTGTACCCTTGTCCATACTTTTTTCACAGTCTGTCCAGGGGACTGGTCTGGCTTTCATTGCTTTCACAGAAGCTATGACACATTTCCCTGCTGCACCTTTTTGGTCAGTGATGTTCTTTCTCATGTTGGTAAATTTGGGCCTTGGAAGTATGTTTGGAACCATCGAAGGAATTACCACCCCTATTGTTGATACGTTTAAAGTGCGGAAAGAATATCTTACTGGTATGCCATTACTTTATCTATTCCTAAGTATTTATTATGAGGTTTGTTCACTAAAATATAATCCACAAGATGTTATCACACACACTGACAACACTTTATGTATTTTAAAACACAATTTCTTGTTTTCCTTAGCCAGCTGCTTAGCTAGATATGATTCAGTGGTTAGTAAAATTCACAAGTAGTGTATTAGAATGTTATTTGTTGTGAGTTACACTCACATCTGTAATTTCTCTTTGACAGTAAGTAGTATATTTCATATAAACGTGTCTGTTGACGTGACTAAATGAAGTAGCAGTGCTAAATGCAATGATACTGGCATCTTATTTTAATCCCCGTTGCTACAAGTTAATTTCAATTTCAAATTGCCAGATATATACTGAGATACAATACTGTCTACAAAAAAAAAAATATATAAACGACTTTGCAAACGCAGATAGACAGATAACTATATAGATCCAGCAACTGATAGATACATAGACAGATATATAGATAGATATATAGATAGATACACTGAACAAAATTATAAACACAACACTTTTGTTTTTGCTCCCATTTTTCATGAGCTGAACTCAAAGATCTAAGACTTTTTCTATGTACACGAAAGGTCTATTTCTCTCAAATATTGTTCACAAATCTGTCTAAATCTGTGTTAGTGAGCACTTCTCCTTTGCTGAGATAATCCATCCACCTCATAATCCATCCACCTGGCCACAATAAAAGGCTTCTCTAAAATGTGCAGTTTTATCATACAGCTCAATGCCACAGATGTCACAAGTTTTGAGGGAGCGTGCATTCGGCATGCTGACTGCAGGAATGTCCACCAGAGCTGTTGTCCGTGAATTGAATGTTCATTTCTCTACCATAAGCCATCTCCAAAGGCGTTGCTGAGAATTTGGCAGTACATCCAACCAGCCTCACAACAGCAGACCACGTGTAACCGTACCAGCCCATGACCTCCACATCCAGCATCTTCACCTCCAAGATCTTCTGAGACCAGATACCCGGATAGCTGCTGCAACAATCGGTTTGCTTAACCAAAGAATTTCTGCACAAACTGTCAGAAACCGTCTCAGAGAAGCTCATCTGCATGAGATACCATGACAAGATTCTGAGGCCCATTGTTGTGCCATTCATCCACGACCATCACCTCATATTGCAGCATGATAATGCATGACCCTCTGTTGCAAGGATCTGTACACAATTCCTGAAAGCTGAAAACATCCCAGTTCTTGCATGGCCAGCATACTCACTGGACATGTCACCCATTGAGCATGTTTGGGATGCTCTGGATCGGCGTATACAACAGCGTGTTCCAGGTCCTGCCAATATCCAGCAACTTCGCACAGCCATTGAAGAGGAGTGGACCAACATTCCAAAGGCCACAATCAACAACCTGATTAACTCTATGCGAAGGAAATGTGTTGTATTGCGTGAGGCAAATGGTGGTCACACCAAATACTGACTGGTTTTCGGACCCCCCCGGAACTCCACCAATACAGTAAAACTGCACATTTTAGAGTGACCTTTTATTGTGGCCAGTCTAAGGCACACCTTTGCAATAATCATGCTGTCTAATCAGCATCTTGATATCCCACACATGTGGGGTGGATGGATTATCTCAGAGAAGTTCTCACTAACACATATTTAGACAGATTTGTAAAAAGTCTTAGATCTTTGAGTTCAGCTCATGGAAAATGGGGGTAAAACCAAAAGTGTTGCGTTTATAATTATGTTCAGTGTATATAGATATATATATAGATTTTTTTTTAAATAAGCTATTTTAACCTAATTTTTGCTTTTCATATTTAATCCACCACTATTCACTGTTTGGGAAATTAATCCTTGTATATTTTTTATTAGCTGTATGCAATTGCAAACACAGTGCCCTCTCATGAAAAAAGAAAAACCCCTTTAATTAAAACCTCCAGTGAGTTTTATTATGTGGGTGAAACATACACTGTGTATGCACAGCAAACCCATGACTTTCTCTACTGAAAGGAACAAAGGGTGCACACATGTGTTGTAATGGCCATATTGTAGTCTTGCTAGAGATAAGGATTCGAAATGACAGTAATGTCAGAGTGAAGAAAATTAAAGATGAAAATATATTTATGCAATCTGGAATGTCTATGTCAAGATAGCTTAAAATATGGTGACATTTGCACCAAAACCAATTTGAGATTATATACATTTATGCACTTAACAAACTTCTGTTAGTTATTCAGAATACAAAATTTGCAAAATTAATTTGTTTATTTTGCTCAAAATGTCATGCCACTAGTAGAAATGGGTTATTCAGCATTATGTATTCCAGTGTAACAATAATAAAAATAATGTCACTAATTTTATTTTTCTCTCTTTTTCTTTCCATGTCCTTTTAAGTTGGATGTTGTCTTATGGCATTCTGCATTGGCTTACTCTTTGTACAGCGCTCAGGAAACTACTTTGTTACCATGTTTGATGATTATTCAGCCACATTACCTCTTCTCGTCATTGTTATTTTAGAAAACGTTACTATTGCCTGGATATATGGGATAGACAAGTAAGTAAAAAAAAAAATGTAAAAAAATCATTTTCCAAAGTGTGAAATAAGTAAGACTTTTTATATCACTTTATTGTTTGTACATACATTTTTCAGCATAAATAATGACATTTATAACTTAAAACATAAGCCAGAGATGCATGTGAACGATATGCAACATTCTATTTAATGTAAAAAAAAAAACCTAGCAGATAAATAGGACATATAATAATTTGTTCTCTTATATTGAACTCAAAAGGAGCACAGCAGAAAACAAGTTTAGTCTTATGGTATTAAATATATAATACAGGAAATAGTATGGATTTAACAGCTAGCTCATCATGGTAAACAAAAAAACAAAGAGGAGTAGATAAGCGCTAGATAACTGAATAAAGAGAAAGGATAGCAGTTCACCTGAAAGTAGGGGGCTCCCTCAAACCTCTAATTGACAGATATACAAAAATAGCAAACAGCTAGCACTAAAAATAATAATAGAAAAATAATAATTCAATAAGTGGTAGTTGCCACGGGGGGAGGTCCAGAGACCGGGGCCCCTGTATGCCTGATGATGAAGATAGGAGTCACAGCATGGAAATGAACTATCAGGGCCTGGTGCAGGGTAACCAGATGCTAGATGATAATATGCAGACCTCCCAGGATCTGGATAGGGAGGCTCTGCAGCATAAATGTATCCAGTACTAGAAACAAGGCAAGACTAGAACAGGCACCAAACAAGATAACAAGACAAGACTAGAAGAACCCAGAACCAGAGCAGGAAAGAAAGCAGAACCCAGAATATGTACACAAGACATGAGGGAAACAAGAACAGAACATGGACAGTACAGGACTGTACATGAACTGGGAATACAAGACAAAACAAAACAAAACAAGACAAGAGATACAAGGCAAAACAAGAGGAGAAATAACCAAGTACTATATATGTATTTAACATTGGAGATTTAGACATACATAAATGGCGAAGATGCATGCAGCCCACTACTGCACCAAAGTACTCCAATTACGGTGGGTCCTAACTGCCTAGATATACAGGACTAAAAGTACAATAATAAAACACACACAGTACTTACCTGCAAGGAAAGGAGCAGAGGAAATGAAACCACTGCCTGCAGGAACAGACTGAAACAAAATGGACTAATGGCAAAGGAACAGGTGTGGCAACAAAAAACAAACATTTAAAGGAATCCAAGAGACTGGGAATTTCAGGAACGGAATAAAGGAATTAACCCAGAAAACACAGCATAAAGAAAACCAGACATAGAATAGAAAACCAGAAAAAACAAGAAAAACTAAACAACAATTGTAAAAAGAGTACTGGATACCAGAAGCCATTGCCAGAAAAGATCTGCAGCCAGGAACAGGATGTGACAGTAGTAATAATTTATAGTAATAATAAATAACTTACAGTAATAAAGATAAATGTTGAGAGCAGTACTATGTACTAATGATAATATCAAGTCCCAAGTATAAAGTCTTTCTTGGCAGGAGACGTCGGCAAAGCTTCTTGCTTTAATTTGTAGAGGTATATGCGCATAAAAGAAGCAACGACACAGATATATTTCAACATTGTAGTATGTCAAATGAGGCATAAACAACACACAATTGTTAGATGCTGGATAATATTAGATACTGGTAAACACCAAATGGATATTGAATTAACACAAATCAGAACTAGCTTAATAACGGAGGTATCCTTGACAATGCTCAACCGATTTAAATTTTAAATATTCTTTCTGTACTAACAATAGCTTATAATTGAGAACTACTTCTGTTTTCTATTTTAGGTTCATGGATGATTTAAGAGATATGCTTGGATTTACACCTTACAAATACTATTACTATATGTGGAAATATGTCTCTCCACTTTTGTTAAGTATTTTGCTTATAGCAAGTGTGGTTCAAATGGGATTCACTCCGCCAGGTTACTATGCATGGATTGCGGAAAAAGTGAGTATTTTGCTAATGTATTTTTACCTCAATGTTGTCAATAGACCAGGAATTCTGGAGAAGACACTAGGTAATGTTAATGCTTCCAGAACTGGTGAACTGGGAATCAGAATACATGGAATATAATTATTGCTTTACTAAGAGAAATTAAAAAAATGTATCTTCTTGAAACATAACCCTCTAAGCCCGTACAATTTTACATCTGAACTATTTATGACCAAATTTTCACCCAAGTTACTGTTATTGATGTTAGAATTATTTTTTTGTTCTGCTGGAAATCTATTCTCCACTTTGCAGTATGAGCTGTGTGATGAAAGGTGACAATTTTAACTTATTTTGGAATAAACATGTAGAACTCCAATTCCAATATACATCTTGCATGAAAAATATTAGCTGGTTTTCCGAGTAAGCAGAATTCTCAATTTTGATGAAAATATGTGATCTTAATTGTTCCTGATTAATTTCTTAATTAGAGTCTTATTTTAATCCAGAGTATACAAACTTAATGTCCTCATCTTAATAGTGTAAAACAGTTTATTTTCCATTATTGTAATATACAGTATATGTTTTGCTTTCAAAGTTATTTAAAGAAAACATCTTCAAAAAAAGACTATTCTCATTTCATCCACAGAACCTGAAAAGGTACAGTGGAGATCAGATAGTGTTTTACATCCATGCCAATGTTATTAGTTGTTTGAATACAAATATATCTAACATATTAGGGAGCTTAATACAATATTCAGACATGAGTCTTCACAATTTACTTATTTTAGAGATTTTATATGTCCTATGTCTTTTTTTTTTTTTAGGCCAGTGAAGAACGTCTTAGTTATCCACCATGGGGTCTTGCCGTCTGCATATCACTTATAATCTTTGCATTATTGCCAGTACCCTTAGTTTTTATTGTCCGTTATTTCAACCTCATCGATGAGAGCAGTGGCAGTCTGGCTTCAGTGTCTTATAAGAGAGGGCGGATCATCAAGGAAATTTCCAATCCAGAAGAAGATGACGCCAGTTTAATCCATGATAAGATCCAGAGTGAGATGCCTTCTCCTAACATCGGGAATAGTATTTACAGAAAGCAAAGTGGATCTCCAACGTTAAAAGTGGACACAGCTCCCAATGGACGTTATGGCATTGGGTATTTAATGGCAGACATGCCAGACATGCCTGAATCAGACTTGTAGCTGAATCTACACAAACAAACCACAAAATAACAGAAAGAATACAGTCTTATTTTTCTTCTATTTGGCACTGCACATTGGCTCTCTTATATGAAGAGGCTGGCTTTAATGCTTGAGAAGCAATGACAGCTGTTCTGTGTTCTCAAGACTTAGAACTTGTTTGATAGAGAGAGGTATACCATGGTCTGTTACCAGAAGGCCTTAGATGTTTGTCTTCTGAATGTGGCTTTTGCCCCTAGCACTTTCTAGGACCTTATATACTGTATGTGTCTTACCTCTCTGTGCCTACATTTGTCCCAAGATAAAGAGGCAAATAAACTCATATAATTTCTCTTTACAAATATATTCCATCAAATACAATATTTGTTACTAAATGAACACTGTATGAATGCAATGTAATAGGGATGAATACACAGTATATATATACTTGTATGTAGAAAAAGATAAAGAAGGTTAAAATCTCAAGTACTGCTATTATGAGTCCATAAGTATCTTTAAGCCATAGAACTATTGTTAGTTGGTTTCCGAGCTAAAGGCCTTCAGATATATCAAACAGATATTGTTTTAACCTGACAATATCGTCTATGGTACTTCTACTGTGTCAGTTGAAGCTCAGGGCTTTATTTTCTCATCACTTGAACACATACCCAAATGATTAAAGAAAAGCTCAATTTAATGTAGTACATTTTAGTTAATTAAGTAATTGCTTTAAATATTTTATTAGTATTTCTTGATTTAACTAAATATTTTAGAAGTACTCAAGGGTAAACATTTTAGATTCGGCTTTTCAGGATTTGATCGTCCTAAGCTCAACAGCATTTCTAACAATTGAATGGTTATCTCTTTTTTCAAACAGACCAGCTCTAACGTGTGTCAGTATTAGCAAAACTGTTGACTGTTAATAGTATACTCACAAACACTAAAAGCTTTTCTACTCCAAGATGACCGAATGGCAGTCATAAGCCAAAAGCCACTTATATGCAGTTCTATATTGGAATTTGTTTTCATGTAAAACCAAACTGGTTCTTCTGATATCTGGTCTCTAATGTCCTTGAAGCAAATGTTAAGCTGAAGGCCAGTTTTGAATTATTTGTATATTTCTAAAGCACTTAGTGTTATGAGACAATGTTCTGCTAGGGTCGTAAATGTATGATTATGATGCAAGACAGGATATCTGTTGTTTCAATGCAAATTCCTTCATGATTGAAAGAATACCTCCAATTGTCTCCAAATCAGACCATTTATTAGAGCTGTATCTGTTATATGGCAGCCTTGCACTTAATGTCAATAAAAGTTGTGTGGCCCCTTCTGGAGCCTGATCCAGATATTTCTATTCTCCCCACCTGGCTCAGAATCCACTCATTTATATAAACAGTTGCGTACAATATATGTAATGTGTGCTATTTTCTACGCATACTCCAATTTAGTTTAAAAAATGTAAATAGTTGGAGAAAAATTACTGTCATGTACTATGTTAATTTCTCATAATACTTGATTTAGAGGAGGTATGTCTTACTATATAATAGTGCAAATATCTGGATGCATATTTTTTCATTCTGCAGATTAGACCATTGCAAATAAGTGCACTTGTTAACAAGATCTGCACAATATAAAGAATGTAAAAAAATATAATTGATATTAATAATTGCAAATTGGTGGATATTTAATTTGACTGTGTGTATATCTGCATTGTAAAAGCTGCACACGAAAGCTCCCTTCAATTATAAAATTTCCAGATATATACAATACTCTCAACAAAAAAATAAATATAAAATAAATACATACAAAAACCACTATGCAAACGCAGAAAGATAAATAGATAGATCCATCAATTTCAACTGAACGACAGCCAGACAGACAGCCAGACAGCCAGATAGATAGATAGATAGATAGATAGATAATGGATGTCCCTTTACACACAAAACATTTTTTTTTTTTAAAACAAGCTATTTTTTTATCTAAATTTTGCATTTCATATACAATCTACTACAAATCACGGTTTGTGGAATGAATCTCTGTATGTTTTTAGTTCATATTTTTGATAAATACAACAATGCATTCTAGGTACATTCTATTAACACTCTGCATGCCAATTGTGCAGTAAATTATGACACATTTTGGTTTTGAACTTTTTTTTTGTTTTTTGTTTTGCAACTCAAGTATTGCATTGCTCTAAAGGTAAATTTTTGACAGTGCCATTAGGTTTATCCAAATCAGCTAGGATGGGATGTGAGTATAGATTGTATATTTAATTAATGCAAGGTATCAAATAACAGAGTCCAACTCTAATAGAGAACATGCACAAAATACCTCCAACTTTTTCAAAATGCAAAATATTAGTACAAAAAGGTACATTGGGGGAGATACCTAAAAATTATCATTTAAAAATCTGTGCAATTGTGCCATTTTACACTATACAAAAACACTATACAACATCAAACACTACCTTCCTAATCTGTGCCAGGTCTAATATTATGAAATAATTAGTCGATTATCAACTCAACAGTAATGGAGAGCTGCATCCAATAAATATAGCCTTTTTTGGCAGCAAAAGTCTAAAAAAAAAGGTTGTATTAATTGATATAGTTACTTTCATTATGCTTCCTGGGTTACATAACGGGAACAGCATGCAGTTAAGTTCTCTTACAATGCACACGGCTCAGACCAAGAGTGCAATGTGCCAACATTGTAGTTATATTAGATCCCAACTTTTTTAAAGCAAAATTTTTGTTATTAACAATTTTAGGCAAAACTACTTACTAATTTCTAATCAGTGCTACAATTTCAACCATATTTATTTTCCTTATATGTCATTAGACTGTTTTATGAAGTTTTTGCAACATCATATAAAATCTTTCTAATTTTTAAGGTGCAGATGTATGTTTTTTTGTTGGAATATATTCTACATACATTAACCTAATTTGGTCTTGCATCTCCCCCAATATGAATGAAAAGTAACAACTCCTGATACAAACATAGTATTGTATGAAAGAGAATACACTGCTGCAATTTAATCTAAATGTCAGTCTTTAAAAGTATTGCTCTACCTTATGTAAATTAAAGAAATAAAAACAAATGTTTTTTTTTTTTTTTTGCAGATAAAATGTATATCTGGTCAGTGAGTTCAATGTATCCATAATTGTATTATGTAACTAACTTCCAAAAGTGGTTAGTTGAAAAAGTGTACCCACACTTGATTGTACTGTACGACATATAATGTTAAAAGGTTATACTTATTTTAATAATGATGAAAAGTATTTGAGCTATTAGCTTAGTAAAATAAATCGGCGTGCTTAATATTTTCTTATGTATTAACGGATAGATAATTAGTAGCTAGAAGAAAAAAAAAAGACATAGCACTTAATAAAGGCAGTGGGGTATAAAGGTGTTGCCCCACTATTTCTGGATGTATGACATAAAGCTGTATATTTTGAGTAATGAATGTGCTGTTTACTGCAAGATTACGTGGTCTGAAATCAGGTCCTCTAAAAATTGTTCATTTTACAGATTTTACTAAGTTGTGTCCGTAATAAAGGTCTTCATTGATATTTATTGTGGTTACATCATTTAAAAATTAGTATATTTATACACTTGACTGGTACTGTAAATATGTATATTATAAACCCTGCTTTAAAGGCCCAATGCTAAGTGATATGTTTCAACTAGATGTGCAAATGATTTTCTGTCTCTTTTATCCAAAGAGAGCCTATTTTTCAGTTATTGTTACGCTATATACAGTATAATATGCCTAAATAATAAAAGTTTGAAAAAGTATTTTGTCTGTTTCATTCTTTTTTTTTGTCTTTAAAGTCAGTTGATCTTAATTTTGTAGTTTATCTTTATTTTGTCACTTATTATATTACACACATTTATTCTTCAACTGGTTATTACAATATTAGCTTTATTGTTTTATATTGCATTTAAAACACAGAATGATAAAGGTCTAATCTATAGAGAAGCAGTGTAACTACTAGTACACGTATTATGTCTTACAGTAATGGTAATGGTTTGTAACATCATCCATTGCAAGACAAAACTGTGCGGTGTGGGACTTTTAATCTCAATTCAACCCGTCTAATGTTGGAGCAATATAACTGGTGCTGGTGACAAACTGGTTGCGCTAGTGAGATTCTTGTTATTTGCCGAGCATATGTGAGAAATACAAATAATTTGGGGATATTACCACTTTCTGAGTGAAAACACTCAGTGGGCATTTTCACTGTGGAAGGGACACTGTCACTGAAATGTTCTTATGATCCTCCCACTAATTAAGCTCCTTTTGAGTTACAGGGAGACTTTAGACACTATAACCATTTAATCTCATTGAAGTGGTTATAGTGCCTGGAGTACCCTGGCTTCATCCCTGCATTCAATACTTTGATTAATTTCTTTTTTTAAATGGTTTCATACAGAATTAGGGTCCCCGGCCATACACAACAGAGACCCAAATGATGTCATGACTAAGACAGAAAATACACTACATATTCCAATCAATATCAGCAATGAGTGATTGTGATATGCTGAGTGGACATTCTCAGCCAATCACTGCCACCAATTGCTTCTTAGGCTTCTTTAATAGCCTGACCGACCGGAGCCCTTGTGGCAAAATACGTATCCAGCTTGGACAAGGACCAGTACAGGAGTACAGTGAATGAATACGTGAGTGTTTCTGGTTTTACATTTATTTTGCTAAAGATGCAGTTCTACTGTTGTTATTCTGCTTAAAATGAATAGGTCTCCATTGTTTCGATTATTCATTCCATGTATTAGTTAGTGATGGCACTCTGATATTCCCATCCCTCACTTTTGTTGATCAGATATACAAGGTGGGCCAAAATTCAGAGTAGGATTTGACAGGTAAATAACTTATTTGTTCGTAGTTAAATTTTTTTGTTGCTGGTACATATTATAAATGAGTCTTGAGATTCTTGATTTAACATAGGTAATTTCATGAAGGAATAATTAATTAGCCAGAGAAATAAATTCATTTATTCATCAAGTCA